CTCAGCTACCAAAATTGATCTTTCATTGGAAAATTCCATATTGATATTCAATATAATGCAGATTTAAACATGTACAACAAAGAGATTAAATGAAGCAATTGTTTCACTTACAACCAATGCACTACAAGTGCCGCCTGTCAGTCATTTTGGCCAGCCAATCACGTACTGTGGTACTCTGTGCTAATCTGCACATAATTTCGCACAGTATGGTATTTAACTGCACATTTTGAATGGCTTCAGTATGATATTATTTCTGTATTTATGGTTTTTGAGAAGGAATGCAATCTACTAAAGAAGTAGGAAATAGAGAGTACAAAGAGCTAGTAAATGTTCAAATTGGGATAATATAATCAATGGTGTACTACAGGTATCTATACTAGGATCTCTGCTCTTCTTAATGTATAATAATGATCTAGACTCTGGTTTAGGTAGTAATCTAGTCAAATTTGTAGATCACACCAAATTAAAGGGATTATCTAACATTGTACAGTATCTGCAACAAAATGAAATTTAAAAAGATTTAGATAAAATTCAAGACAACAAACCCTTAGCAGATGATATTTAATACCAAGCTTGACACACTGCTTACAACTTTCAGACAATGAGGACAAGCAATGATAAAGGCAAAAAACAATTTAGGCTATACAGTCCAAAGGGCACATAATTACCTTTATGATTAACCAATTTCAATGAGCCACAAAACAAGGACAGCTGCTGTGGGTTTGAATGTGAACATATGGCGTTTCACAGTGGCTTTAATTTTTATTGATAAATGACAGAAACATATGGAAACACTTTTGATGTATGCAAGAAAAACTGGCATTTTTTTATGATAGACTACGTTTTTTTATGTAATAATATAAAGATGAGGCTTATGCCCTTTAATGTGTTAAATTACCAGCATCACTGTGCCATGACAGTCCTCCACACCCTTGCTAAAATCTCTGATGAAATATCACCCTTTTTATATTGTCCCCACAACCACAGGAAAGAGAAGGAATAGTGTATCATAAGATCAGAGTGTTTTATTTGATGTACCACCACTTAACTACATCAAATAACATTTTGCCCACTGCACCGCTATTTCTCAACATCCTTACTCCCCTTAAAAACAACCAGTGAAGAGTCCCACAGCAGTAAATCACATAGAACAAATAAACTCGAGTGACACCTAGATGTGATTGAACACACTTCAGTTTACTTAAATGAGTCTCCCTTAAATTCAGTTTACTTCCCCGCACAGAATATTAATCTCTCTATATATATATATGCATCTCAACACTCACTATTTCATACTACTTATTACATCTTACCAGTAATACTGATAACACCTTTCTTCAGTGTTTGTGCATGAGTCGTAGATCTACTGCATTGTGTTTGGAATGCAATTTTTAAATATTACAATAAATTTCCCAGTGACAGGTGCTTGAAATCATTACATAGTGACTATACTGCCACTTCACTCTAGAACGATCCCATGCAATCCAGTGTTTTATGCTGTACAATACTAAATCGCACAAGAGCTGTACTAACTTAGTCTGGTACTTTAGTATACTATACTATAGTTGTCCTGCTGGAATGTAGTTATGCCAGGACATCAAGGTTATTGTCACTAGGTTATATCAGGTTTCTGTAACCAAGTAGTTCCCTACATATAGCTGAGAACATATCACAGCAAACAAAAAACTGCCAGGGCAAACCCAATAAAAGTAAGTACAAGTCTCCAAAACAATCTTTGGACAAACTATGGGGCACCAAGACTATGCTTTCTAAAGTCTGACCTTTACTAAGAGCCTTGGTAACAGGTCATCGTCCTTCGAGCTGGTCATTGGCAGCACTACATTTGCTTCAGTGTCGCTCATTTCTCCACTCTAACTACAATCCTGTCAGCCACCATCATGTGGGTTAACAACACCACGTTAGCTGCCCGGTCTGCAACACGCACGCGCACTCGCGCAGTATTTTGTGCGCATGCGCATATCATGCGGAAAGCTTAAACATATATTTCGAACATGTATCGAACTTTTGTTAAAATTATATAGAAGAAAATTATATCACGATAATTATAGTTATCGAATTATCGCCCAGCTTTAATTCCAGTGGTTAAAATTATGTCCTACTGATAGGCTAATAGTACTAAAACTCTTTAGTCTTGAACTTTGGTGTCAAATTCACTGAAAAAGACAATCAGTGGACCTCATCAGAATCAACAGAAAATAAATCAGAAAACGGAGGATACAAACAGTAACTATTGTAAAGTGAACTTAAAATGTGTAACAGGGGATACCTTTTACCAAAGACGTGGGCTTCTACAAAAAGCTAATAAGTCATGTTGTCAAAGTTTTTTATTAGCACAACAGGGATTGGCTACCTCTTTGTAAGGATATAAATGAGAGTCAAGGCACATACATCTGCACCTACATATTTGAGTATAACAATTCCTTTGATTTACCTTTTTGCACAGTTTTTATTCATTGATTCTTTAACCTTAATTTCTCATTTTGCTACATTTTTTACAGAGCATTCCACATCTGCATGGGTACACTTCAATTTAGAAAGCAATACAAATTCAATACTACAGTGCCTTGTAAAAGTATTCAGACCACTCTTCACATTTTGCTGCTTTAATGCTTGCAGTCATAACATTTTGAAGTAGCAATTAAGTAAATTAAAATAAATGAAAAATGGAAATTCAGAATCCAGAAAAGTCAGAATTGCTTAAGTATTCAAACCCTTTTTTGTGGCAAAACTAAATAAGTACATCACATTAGATGAATGAGTCACAATTATTTGAGTGACTTCTGTATGCAATAATAGCTGTATTTATTCTGAAGCTATGTAAAACACTCTGAAAGGTCTCTTAGTAAAGGTAGGATATTTCAGTCAAAGACTCAACCATAAAGATTAAGCAGCTTTCAAAACACTTGGAGATAATGTTATATTAAGACACAGAACAGGAAAAGGGTATAAAACAAAAAATAAAAATAAACTTTGCTCTTTAAGCATGGTGACATTGATCATTAAGAAGTGGAATGCATCTAGACACTGCCTAGATCAGACTGGCCTTCCAAAAGGAAAAGTCAGACAATGAAACAGTCTGAGGGATGCCACTGTGAGGCCAACTTTAAAAGGGTAACATAGCTCAGTGGGTTAAGATGGGAGAAAACGTCCACGGGGCAATAATATCATGGCTACTCCACAAAGGATGCTTGTATAGAACTGAAAAAAAATCTCATATCCCTCTGGAGGATTGCAATAAAGTATTTAAGAGAGACTATAAACATACAGTGAAAACATTGTATGGTCAGACAAAATGGGAACTTTTTGATAAGCATTTCATCTGACAAATATAACATAATGCATCACTCAGTAAGCACTCTGATGTTAAGCATAGTGGCTACAGCATTGTGTTACACTGTAGTTCTGCCTCTCACCAGCAGAGATTGGGAAGTTTGTCATGACTGAACATAGAGCAAAGCTTGGTGGAAATTCAGCTTCAGACCTAAAAAGTTGGAACACAAATTCACCTTTCAGACAATGTTGGAAAGCACAAAGCCCAAGCTACACTAGAGTGGCTTGAAGAAAAAGAAAGTGTTTGCCTTTGAGAGGCCAAATCAAAGTCTTGACTGAATCCTATTGAGAATCTGTGAAAAGACATGAGAACTGGTGTACATCAGCAACCGGCAACCTCTTAGCAACTTAAGACAGTTTCAGCAAATCTCCCAAGATAGGCAGGAATTGCACCAAGCCAGTGTACAAAGTTGATAGAGACTTACCTAAAAAGACTTCCAGCTGTAATGGCTGTTTCCAACAAATATTGAGTTCATAGGTCTAAATATGTGTGCTACAAACATATTTCAGTGTTTTTTTTTCCTCTTCAGCTTTTCCTGTCATTTAGTGTAACTTATCTTACCCTTGCATCATTTTATAATTTCAAAAATAGTGCACTATAGGAAAGGTCTAAATACTTGTGCTCTGTTCTGGTTCAAAAGCCATTTTCAGGCACCACACTATAACAAATCAGCCTCACCATGACATTGCTAAGGAAACGGATGTGCTTTGAGGTATCTTTATTTTAGATTTAGCCATTAGACGTTATAGGTTGGGTAATACTCCATTTTCAAGGTTTCAATAAAGGTAGTTCAGATAACAACACATAAAACAAACCTATTTTACCTAGGTCTCTTGAAATAGAGCTTTTTCATTGAAACTTGGATAAACAGGGGTCTACTACATGATGCATTTCCAACACAATACGTATCAATTAAATGTTATTTGTTTCAAATTTATATTTGCACGGAATGGAATGTGTCTCAATGACATTGTGTAGTGAACTTTACAAATATTTTAAACCTGGATTACAGCCCATCTCACTCTCATAATCTCTGAACCCAATGAAACAAAATGTAGATCCAGTTACCAAGCAATCAACTGCATATTATTTTGGAAACTGTTTTTCATAACAATATTTAACTAATTTAATGATATATTCCATAGTGTGATTGAAAAATACAGGAGGCTTAAATATATAAAATAATTTGTTTATGTTGATTAGGCAAGAGATGGTAGCTCTGAAGAAATCAAAAATATATTTGTTTTGATGAAGTGATTTTCAAAACAGCATTTCCAATCAAAAATTTGGAAATCAAATTTTCAATTCATTATTTTTATAGTTGGAACTCTGATATTTTCTAGGTTACCAGGCACAGTTTCAGCAGAGTGACAATGCAAGACATCAAACTTACTTTTTATTGATGTCTTATACTGATAACTTTTAAAAACAAGAAAAATGATAGCAATTGGTTGAGTCCAGGTGGAGACACTTCTCATATCTGTTCTTTCTGTTTACCACTGACCCCTAGGGTATACATTCTTTCCTCTCCTATAATGCTAGAGCAACTATAACAGAAAATTACCAGATAAATAACACCTAAAGTATTGCAAGTGTACTTCTCAACAAAAGAAAAACTGTTAAGAACTCTTCACAGAGTGTTTCATACCTTGCTTCTGGAAGCAAAATTGAGTATTCGTGCGGAGAGGTGGTTTCTGGAAAGCTGGACAGAATAGCCAGACGATGCTGAAGAAGCTCAGATCCATGGTAGGTGAACAAGATGTCCAATGCCTGAACATTACTCTCCTGAAACAATATAGGAATTGATACTGTAGTGTAACACGTACCATTGTTTCTTCAAAAATGTACAGTACTAAAAGACAACATATGATCTGTAATAATAATAAAAACTTACATTTATATAGTGCTTTACACATCCTAAAGAGTCTGAAAGTGCTTTATTATCCAAAAAACATCTAAAAGTCCTTAATAAATTGCCCACCTCTGAACTGCAGCAATACCTGAATGATGCACTGCAGCCATTTAGTGCCAGCACTCCTATCATAGAACTAACCATGCTCAGACTTGCTCAGTGTCTGAGATATGAAACAACCAGGCTATAAATGTTGGCTGCGGAATGTTGATGCCAGTTTGAATATTATAAGGGTTTTTCTTCAAAGCAAATATGGTCTATAAAGTCGTGTCATTTCTATAACTCCACAAAAATCCCTTTAAAAACCCACAACACATTATGCATAAGAACAACTAAGGACTTTTCTCCTTTTTTAAATGTTTAATATCTTATTTCATATATAAGCTAAAGGATAGAAACAAATATTTTGTCTCATCTTAAAACACATTGCAGACATCTACAAGACAAATGTCTGTAAATAGAAAGCTCTCTGCATGCAAACTGTGTGGAGCAACATTATTCAAAGAAACACTTCTCAGCATGTGTGTTCACAAAAGGAAATATTATCAGCTCTTACAAGAATGTAACTTTATTTAAAAAATGTCAATTTTATCAATTAAACTATAAAATGGTGAATTGTCAAACACTTCCACATTTGAGAGACTTTTAGATAAGCTTTTACCCTGGCATAAGTTCTTGCTGACAGCACAATGTTCTGATTTCTGAATTTCTTGAAGAACTCTGCATCATATCTCTGCTCTGCAGCATGTGGTCCTCCAAGGATTTCCTACAAGCAAAATCAGAGCGTTTGATCACATTATATGCAGCATAATACATTATCCCTCACATTGTCCATGTGTGCCAATGTGATCAAACAGCTCTAAGCATCATTTACTTTGATTGCATTTTGAAGTTTTATTTCTATTAAATTCTACCACCTCATCTACAGTATGCAATACAGATTTTATGAAGGTAGCTGACTTGAAGTTAACCTAAAGATTTAAAACATAACTTAACTAAAACTTACTTAAAACTCATTCATATCACTTTATTCAATGCACACAAATTATTCAGTAGTTAAAAATCAGTAGCACATCCAGTAAAAAATAAGAAATGCTATTTAATCAACGGTATTGACCATAAAATTCGGATACTCCAACCAACATTTACAATTACATTTATATTATAAATTACATTATACTAATAGGACATGAGGACATAGTCATCATGTCATTAAAATCCTGAAGTATGAAGCTCCTAAGCATGATTCAGAAATGCAAGCATTTGTACATAGAATAAAAATGAAATTGTTGAAAATATTGAAAGACAGTAAATAAAATTGAGTTTATATATGCACAAGCAGTGACAGCAATTATTTTATTACTGACCTCATAAGTTGCTAAACGGTCAAGATAACACAATAGTTTCAATCTGCTTCTGCACAGCTCTTTCTGTTCCAGTGTCATTCTGCAAGCAAAATAAAAAATTGTACACACTGGTATTTTGGTAATTTTACTGAAATTATGCTTAGTAAAAAGAGAATCAGCATAAAACACAGATTTTCAAACAAAAACTATTTTAAAGACAATTCAAATTTACCTTTTCCCTTGATTACTTACATATTGGATCTTGAGGATATCATGGATTTAAGTATGTACTGATGCTGATTTATCAAAATTCAAACTAAACACTGATAATTCAATCAACTGTGTTCTGTTTTATTTCTGTGCATTGTATTGAAGGTATTCGAAGACCAAAATATATTTAACATTTTGGTAAATTAAAAAAAAAATGCACAGTGAGAATGATCATTTAAACATTGGCACTATATAGAACTGTCTGTTTTCTGATAGTAGAATATAATTTAAAATTTCAGACAAATGCTGTGTCCTTTATCATTATAAAATTAAATCTTGAAAAAATAAAATATCAAAATCAAAATCAATGGATACATTCTCAAATGCAAATAATATTGTTTGGACGTCGGAAGAAATTATGATAGCTTTTTCTAATAATACTGACAATTAAAAGGTTTGTAAAGTAAAATAGGGAGCAAAGAAAAAGATAGGGGGTGGGGGAATATTCATTAAAATAGTCAACCATGTGTAAGTGCTTCATGATATCAAATTTGTTTAGAACTGACAGTATAAAAGTACTCTGTTATGTTAGGAATATTCTGTATGAAGCTAAGCCTCTTACTTATTTTCCCGTTTCCTACATTATTCATCCAGTTTATTCAACTCAAATAAATCTTTGAAAGAGATTTCCAATAAAAATCAGTCAGAGGCACAGCTATTTAAAACCCTCTAGAGTAGAATTATTTAAAACAATTAAATTTCATGAAAAGGTGAAATAAACTAAGTCCAACAACATCACTAGCTGTGTATGTACATTGCACATATTGCCCTGTAACAGAATTTAAAATGGAGAATCACAAAACACTGTCAAATCATGTATTAGCTCATTAAAAAAATCATGTTGACTCCTACTGTTTCATGAAGATGTGTTTATTAGGAACAGGACAAGTTCTTTTGTTATGAATGTATTTTGATTTATACACTCCCGAGGAGAGGCAAAGATATTAAGATCCTTTGGGTATTTTAGAATTCCTCAACTACCATCTGGGAGATTAGCAATCTGCAAAGACTGCAGAAAACAAAGGCTAATAGAGCAAGGGCACCTCCATCAGCACTTCAAACATAAATGCCACAAATTTATGTTGGTGTAAAGGATTACATGTATAGACTCCTGATTAGTATATCAGAAGGAACTTAACCTGTCATGACTATCCTGATTGCCTGGGGTGTATCACATAAGATGAAAGATGCATTAAACAATTAAAATTCTCAGGCAGTTTATTTAAAAACTGAATTCTTTCCCTTTATTTCATATGATGTCAAGGCATGCAATTGACGGTGTAGAGTAAGTATAAGAATGAATTATATAAATAGTACAGGGCTTCTATGCATTCCACTGCTGAGTAGTTCTGAATTTTCTGAATCTGCTCACGGCCTACTGTATATCAGGGAAATGAGCCTTTTAAATATGATTTAATAAGCAAAGTTTTGCTACACCTCATTTGACTTTCATTCAACTTGTTGTAAATTGGCACACTGTATCAAGAGCATTTCAATTACATTTCTAACTTAGAATAATTGTTTGCTCTTTTCTCATCATTAATAGCCAAAATCATCTTAGGTCAATCCAATTTACAGGAATTTTAAAATAACAATTTAAACATCATAGAGGGTATAATTTAGGCCAGGAGCCTGTACCCATGTTGGCACTGCCAGTGCACCTGGGTATATCACCATGCAGCTCTTTGAATATTGCTGGTCTATCCACAGCCCTAGTAAGAAAACCAATTATGCAGTTGTGCAGTTGCGGCTGTATAAGAAAAAGAAGTGAAAAGAATAAATAATTATGTAAAAAGTACATCATTTTCCTTCTTTATACAGTAAGAGCCAAGAATATATTTCATCCTGCATGTGATACGCCAACCTAGGTTTCTGATTCAGAATAACATGGTGATTTCAGAAAGCTTAAAATATTGAAAATATGTTTAATCATGAAAACATCTAATAAAACCTGTGTTGATAAGATTTGTATGCGAGTGGCATTTTGTTGTTTTTAGCATTGAAACATGGTAAAATTAGGCCTAACAAAGCTTTAGCTACCTATAAATATCTTGTTACAAATGAATACCTATACTTTTTAACAACATTAATATACATATTCCAAATCAGGCCACGGCCAGCATAGTTTTCTGCAACTAAGAGAAAAGTTATACAGTGGGTTTGTACTAAATAAGTTGTTTGTATCAATATTTAACTTTCTATTTCTGTCATACGTCATCCCAACAAAAAACGTTTGAAAACCCCTGTGCTAGTCAAGTATTTTAGTTCTAAACAATATGAATTAGTCTATAGCATCTTGCGACAATTCATGTTATCCTTTAGAGAATCAGACACACCTGTGACACGAACAGTCCAGAATATAACACATTTCCGTAGAGTGGAATGAAAATATTAAGTTTATTAATGAACATAAGATATGTCAGATGTCAGCAGTGAATCTACCTTCAAGAAGGTTCATACCTGGCACCCCACTGGCATTTCACCTTGAGATGTGACACCAGGAAAACTAGTAACTCGAAAAACTATCAAAGCAGCTCCTTACTGTGTAATCTAGATGTAGAAATAATTTATCTTTTTATTTTTAATATTGCATTAAAATAAGCAAATACATATATATATTATGTGTCCAAAATAGAACAGAATATTAATAAATTAATTAGATACCATATGCATGAAAGTGATACAGAACCTGAACAATTGTTTTTAAAAGAATAATTACTAGTGTGTAATTACTATATTATGTCTATTTCAAACAATCAAAAAGTTAATAAAGCAGTCCTAATATACCGCTAGGCAAAAGTCTTACATATTTTGTTGTTTATTGTTTTGTATAAAATGTAGCCTGTTAGCTGTATCAATGTATACAGAGGAACAGAGAATGATGATTATAATTAATTACTCCGATTTGATTGGTAAAAGTGACATATTAGTTATGACAACATGTTATATTGTTTGTTCGGGGAGAGCTTACTCAGCTGTTGAAATTATGTCTCTGAAGATTGTCAGCAATTTGAATAATGAATTGTTAAATGAGAGGCATGACTGTTCCAACTTACTAAAATTTATACGTTATTATGAACATAGAATGCTACTGAAGTTTTTCATTAGTAGTTCTTCATTTGCCAATTTATTTTAATCAATAATCAATTGGCATATATTTTCATATATTTGAAATAAAACCTATATGTGATAGACATAAATCTATATATTTTCATTAAGAAGTAAACACCTAAAATACAGTAATTTCCAAAACTTCAGCTGATCGCTATACATGTGATAAGGCCATTTGAACTTTAAGATCAAAAGTATAATTGTCTTATAACTCCATATATTTGATTCATATTTTGAATTATTCTGACATGTCAGTTGTTCTTGTGTAGTTTTTAGATTGTGTAGCAAATCCTAACCAACAGTAGTTTTTTTGCTGTCTAATGAGTAATAACGCAAGGTCCCCAGTTTCTTCACCATTTCCATTCTGTCAACACAATAACAGAAATTCCAATGAAGCTGTAGAATCAAGCAACATATTCAATAACTATACATGATATCAATTAAATTTGTTTAAATTCCATTATATTGTTGGAGTTTACTAAATACAATACCAATGCTGTGCACTGATGGCAAGTGATGGCTAGACAATACAGTTTATCTAATTTCTTTGATGAAAGACTGGTGGTGGTATAGAGGTCTTTGTACTTCTCCATCTTTGATATGAGTGCTGAACTAAACTTTGCACCGAAAACAAACAGGACGTAACACATCGTTTTTCACCCCATTGTTTACCTCATCAACCAGTCATGTATTCAGCCACAGGGATTCAAATAACAGCTTAAAGCATCCTATGATTTCCTGAAGGGGAGTAAGCCACTGGGACACCATACTGAGTTTGTTTGATGAAAAATACAAGACCTAGAATCCATTATGTAGCAAATGTATGTGTTTTTGTACTCAAATTATGACCAAAGGAGAGTAAAATATAAAAAATATTGCTGCACTTAACGTGCTGCTTATGCTGCCAATGTAGACTGCAGCATTAACTACAGTATAATAGACACCAACTAAAGCAACAGACGGATGTTAGAAGCACATAAGAAAACACTTGAAAAATATTCTCAGTATAAATTAGCCTTTAGAGAATACATAGTCAATGTTGCTACACAACACATTTAAGAAACCATATAGGACTGATATAAAAATACCCTTGCCTGTGACCTCTGACCTCCCCTTCAGGTCAATATGTCAATTTGGCTCCTCACCCCTTCTGTAATAACTAACATATGTAAAAAAACAAATTTGTTATTTTTTATTATTTTTACAATCAATATTAAATCTGGACTTTGTGTTACAATACAGTGTTTTAGTTTGTTGTAGTGTTTAAATACATCTCAAAGTCAGTGCTATCAAAAAAACACAGCTAAAGATAATAGAACCCAAGTACAACAGAATGCTTGACATTGTTTGACCTGCCTGATGGAAAAATCATTTGTACTTGAGATTGTCAACACAAACAGCCTATCTCTGAAGAATTAATGGCTCATCGTTACTAAGCATCATTTACAGGCAAAGGTACACTTGTACACTGAATAAAGGCATTCTAAACCTGTATGAAACAAATCAAATACAAGCTCCGGCTTAGACAGCCTTATTTTCCTCAAGAGTTCTGTGTTCAGTTCAAAATGTTAAGTTTCACCCACTCGTGACAAAATTCTTAAAAACATCCTTTACTCATAACACAGGAAGTTTTGATTACCTACTATGAACATACTATTTGTTCTCTAATAATTAAAAGCAATTTTTAAATTACATAACATTTGTTCAGAAGTATTTTGCTTTAGGAATGCTAATTCAGAATGTCCAGTACAAAATCACTGCATAGTAAGAACTTTATTTAATCTATTCTATTTATGTCAAAGCTATCAGATATGAACTAATTTAAGTCCACTTTCAAAAAATATAAGTGATATTACATTTTAGGTTATTTAATTACTACCCAATCCCCAAAAAAGGAAAGAAGGATGTTTTTCAGGATGTTAGGTATGGTGCGTTTTAACCTGTTTTACCTATTCTTTTTAAACTATAAACAGTGATTTACACATTGTTTAATTCAACACAAAAATAAGTAGTATATTTAACAAAAATAAACATTTCAGCTGCTGCAACATCTGTCAAACCTGGATTGTGGAAAATTAAGCCTTTGATATGAATTTGATTGATGATTACTAAACAGGTTTCTTCTATTATCTTTGCATCAGTTATGCAGGGATATCTAACTGTATTTATTATATAACTTATCAAACTCATTATCTTGCCAAAGAATGCACAGGAGTGTCAATTTTAAGACAAGTTCCTCTTTCTCTTGGAAAAGCAAATTATGAAAATGTCCATGTATCTTACATTTTAGTTTTCAATAAATGAATTACATAGGGCTATGCTGAGGTCAGAATCAGAGAGGAAAATTGCTCTAATCCTTACAGACTATGTTGAAGGTACAATACACTGCACCAAATGTTAGAATAGAATCCTGATAAAAACACACAAACTACAAAAACAACATTGATGAAGATTCAACCTGATGTTTTTTTTTTTAATCAAAACACCATGCCCACATGCATGTCTATATATCATGAAATGCCAATCAAAGGACATGTTAATGCCTAGTATGAAATGGAACAACGCTTGTGTGGGTGCACAGTACTGGAAACTTATCAATGCTTTTGAAATGCTCTCAGTAGACATTGTGATGTGGAAAAGAAATGCTATCAATCATTTTTCATTCTCTTCATTGAACTTGTTACCTGCGCTGTGAAAATGTATGCTTTCAAGAATGCCTAATGTGGAAAGAGGTAGGGAAGGTAAATCTGTCTGGGAAACCCGTCTAAGATACCATTAAATATGAATACTGAATATGACATCTAAAAAGACAGAAACTATATTAAAATATGAAAGAACTGCACTCTTGCATGATATACACGAGTTCCTATCTCATAATACTTAGAAGATAAAACACATTTTGATACAAATCATGAAAATGTAAATCTGATTTTATGGGCTTACTAAATTTTATTTAATTGTAACAATGTTGTCAACATGAAGCTGAAAAGATTCAGTTTATGTTAAGATGTCCATTTCACATTCTGACAGTTTGTGAATAGCTCACTTGTTCCAGTGTGCTGCAATACGCTATCACAATTGCCTATTGCAACACAATGTTTTGAAATAATATACTGCATCCATGTGTAATATCACAGAACTATAAACTGTTAAACATATTTCAAAATAATAAGCTTCCACAAGAAATGCTGTTTTCCTTTTGACACTTCCTCTGTTTTTTTGTGCAGTATCAACAGACACTGTATCTCTCTCTAAGGGTTAATATTGCAGCATTCTCAGCCCAAATGCCCAAGAGGCTAATTCTTCTTAGGTGTAGGCAGGCTGCTCCATCTTCCATGTTCATTGGATCACATATTTTACGTATTTTTATTTTTAATTAAATTTACTCTCAAGAGATCCTCTTAATTAAGTCTATCAACCACCTGTTCGTGTGGTATGTTGCCCAACTTTTTCTCTCATTTTCTCTCATACACATGTCATGTGTTTTGTTCTTCGGTCCTTCTGGTGTTACTTGATTTGTCCCAATGATTGATCTAACATAGTAAATTAGTAGATTTTAGAATGTACTAGATTCTTATGGTTCTGAAATGACATGTTTATTCCTGTGTCACATCACTGGCTGATTGTGATTCATACTCTTGCCCAAATGCTGCATACATTCTTATCCAAGGCCCAGAAAAAGACAGACTTGATGAATGAAGTAGCCTCCAAATTAGTAAAAACAAGGTGGTAATAATAAGCAAAAAAGACCAAGGCTTTTGATGAAGTAACTCAGTTTAGACCAAGAGCTTCCAATATAAAATAAAGTGTCTTAACTTATATGTTTCCACATATTGAACACCTGTTAATTATTAATTACTCTAATAGGTTCATTTTTACTTTTTCCTGTTTTAATAAAACGGCACAAAATTACACCACTTTCTTTCAGAATTAAAAATTCACATTCTCAACATACTGTAAAGAAAATATTCTTATATTATATGTATTACTGTTGCTATTGGAGACATTTTTCTAGGGTCCATCAGGAGTCCGTCTCAGAAGTTAAGAGAGGTTTTTATTTCATTCGCATTGGAGAAAGATGTTTGGTGTATTTTTCTCAAACTGATTGAACTAGAACAGTCCTTACATATCTTTCTGTTATCTATCACACTTCCCCGTGCTCATCAGATTGCCAACATTCCAAAATCACATTAATTTTCCTCTTCACTTTTTGCCAGATTTAACTTATAACTTATAATAATACAATCGGTTACTTATTTTCATAGCACGCATTCCTATATAACACTGTATAGAATTACATAGAAGCCCTTGTGTCCAGCATTCTTCCATTCCAATTCAAACCAGTTCTGAATGTCCACCTTATAAAAAAAATGCAGTTCACAGAGACCCCCTCAATATCACTATGTTATATGCTGTGTCAGTTAACGATTAAAGCATTCTCTGTCACCTATTATCAATTTTAGTCCATATTTCAAATTTAAAAAACCCTGCTTGTTCCAAGGCTGGAGCCACACTGAAAAGAAAAGACGTAGACAGTGGTACATGACTGACAGATCACCATCAGGGTAAGGTGGACATTACCCTGGCAATCTGACCAGTAAAACAGTGACTTGTTGCACAAGAGAGAACATTTTCCCTGGTGCTAACTCTCCTTTAAGGAAGATCAGAGTTTTCAGTACATCAAGTGATGGATCACTCTGGCTGAAGGGTATACTAAAAGATAATATTTCCTCATTACCTCCTTTGCTGTACAGGAGTTGTAGGCATTATTCAACTTTAAATTAAGTGGGTTTGTAATAAAAATTAACTGGGGATTCCAGATTTCTAAAGAAAGCAAACACAGCCAGAAAAACAAATAACATTAAACAATGCCACCTCATATTTTTGAAAAACAGTTTACCTCTTGAAGTCCACCGTACTGAAAAGCTCCTTTTGTTTCTGTGCTTCTCTTTCCTTCTTTATCTGCAGTTCTTCAGCAGGTGACAGAAGGTCTTCATAAGGCACATCTTCAATGTCTATGTCACCTGGCAGGATGAATCTGAATTGGGGATAAAAAAAATGATCCTTTTAAATCCACAAGGATTTTTTAAAAATCAGATCTTGAAGCCATGTCGCAGCCACAGGTGTGACTAAGACAATATCTTTTTTACAGATTTATGGTTACCTATCTGCAAAATGCAGAGACGGCAGACAATATTTTCTGTGATTGTACTATTATCATAAGACAAGGAAGAATAATCATACAGATAATGCAATGTAAAAAATTCCTCTTCTGAATCATAGTACATTTTCATTTATGACACTGAAATGGCAGTAGGATTTTATATTGCTTACTGTTGCTGGAGTGCATAAGGGATTATACTCATCATTGATGGGCTCTAATATCTTTGATAAATTAGGATTTTTGTAGAAATACATTTTCTGCTATACACTTGGCTAAAATAAGTATTTTAAATTTAGCAAAAGGATTAGCAACCCCATTTGCAATGCTACTGCTTTACAGCTGAGATCAAGAGCAATCTTGACTTGCATGGAAAGCCAAGCTAGCACCAAACTGAAAATGCTCTCTCTAAACATATCAAAGTTGTAATCATTTTATGAATTGAAAAATTATAAGTAGATTTAGTTAAACTGAGACATAGCAATAGTCAAACAAGGTGTAGATCCTTACTTGGTTAAACAAGATATAATAATTTGTCATGCTTAAGTTGCATAGTTAAATAATCCACTCTCTCCTTTAAAAGCTTCACTGTAACTTAAAATAGGTTCTATGGTACAAATAAAAACTTATCAGTCGACTCAGAAAATAGTGATACTTGCAGAACAAATTACATTTCACTTAATTTTAGTCGCTACAGCAAACTATGCAATTAACACTTCACATTACACTACTTTATTTGGAATATGTGAGATTGTTAAAAAGAACGTTGTGATCATAAAATGTATGAAAGGTACACATTTGGATAAACTAGTCCACATTATGAAGGGAATAAGGTAATACAGGCTATTAAAATATAATTACATATACATTATTTAATAAATAAAAACTGATTGAATAAGTAATATAAATATAAAATTATTAAATATATTAATGAGTGTAACTATAGATAGATAATTATACTATAGATTGTTTTCAGTATTTTCCACCTATTCAACAAGATGTACACCTTTTTTATTATAATGACTTCACTTGTAAATAATAGTTAACTTTTGCTTTCTCTGGAATTCAGTATCAATTCAAATATTTTTGTATAATAAATTCTGTTTATAAACCGTATGTAAAAGACCAAATTATATATACATACGGTGCAGTCCATAAGTATTTGGACAGTGACACGTTTTGCTGTTTTGGCTCTGTACTCCAGTACATTGGCTTGGAAATAAAACAATGACTATGAGGTTAAAGTGCAGAATGTCAGCTTTAATACGAGGGTATTTATGGATATATTGGGTTAACCATATAGGAATCACAGCCCTTTTTATACATAGTTCCCCCATTTCAAAGGACCAAAAGTAATTGGGCACATTAACACTATCTTAAATCAAATTTGGCATGTTTGCAAATCCTTTGCAATTGATGACTGCCTGAAGTCAACGACCCATAGACATCACCAGACGTTGGGTATCTTTCCTGGTGATGCTCTGTAATTCAGCCATTTTCAGTTCCTGCTTGTTTCGGGGGCTTTTTGCTTTCAGTCTTCAGTAAGTGAAATGCATGCTCAATGGGATTCAGGTCAGTTGATTGACTTGGTCAGTCCAAGACATTCCACTTTTTTGTCCTGAAAAACTCCATAGTTGCTTTAGAACTATGTTTGGAGTCATTGTCCTGCTGCAAGGTGAAGCGCCGTCCAATTAGTTTTGAAACATTCGGATGGATCTGAGCAGATAAGCTTCTGTACAGTTCAGAATTAATCCTGCTGCTGCCGTCTGCAGTCACATCATCAATAAAGACAAGTGAGCCAGTTACACTGGCAGCCATACATGCCCAAACCATCACACTACCTTCATCATGTTTCACAGATGAGGTGGTATCCTTTGGATCATGAGCAGTTCAATTTTTTCTCAGAACCTTTCTCTTTCCATCACTCTGGTACAGGTTAAATCTTTGTCTCATCATAAGGCTTTGTTACAGAGCTCTAGAGGCTTTTTATGTACTTTAGGAAACCGTAACCTGGCCTTTATTACCAGTGGTTTGCATCTTGTGGTAAACCCTCCGAGATTATGCTGGTGAATTCTTCTCTTTACGGTAGTCTTTGACACATCTATGCCTACATCCTGGAGAGTGTTCCTGATCTGTGCAACAGTCAAAAAAGGGTTTTTCTTCACGATTGAAAGTATTCTTCGGTCATCTACTACTGTGGTCTTCTGTGGTCTACCAGGTCGTTTGCTATTGCTAAGCAAACCAGTGCGTTCTTGCTTCTTAACAATGTACCAAACAGCTGATTTTGACATACCTAATATTTTGGCTATGTCTCTGATTGATTTATTCTACCGCATTATGGCCCACTTTAATGGCATTAACACTTCTTTGGACCTCATATTGAGAAACAACAGTAACAGACTCCAGATGCAAATGCCACATCTAGAATCAATTCTAGATCTTTTGTTAGATCTCTTGTGCATGAACTAAAGATGCAACAACACACAGCTAGCCAAGACACAACTAAGCAGTCAATTGTCCAATTACTTCTGGGGGGACTATGTATAAAAAGGGCTGTAATTTCTATATGGTTCACCCAGTATAGACGTAAATTCCCTCGAATTAAAGCTGACATTCTGCGCTTTATCCTCTTTGTCATTGTTTCATTTCAAATCCAATGTGCTGGGGTATAGAGCCAAAACAACAAAAAATGTGTCACTGTCCAAATACTTAGGGACTGCACTGTATTTGATTATAATACACTGTATATAATACATAACAGACCTTAGTTTAGCAGTATTCCAAAAGTAGGCTACACATAAATTTTGAATATACTTAGAATCTCCAAAACTATTTCTATAAAAATGTTCTAGCCGTCTCGACAAAAATGCAAATATATAAATATAACTGAAAGAGAGAACTCATAATAAGACTGATGATTTGTTTTCCATATTTAAAATGAATACTTTTGTACAGATATACAACTTTAACTACATGTACATAAAATACAGAAGATGTAATTTATAAAATATAAATATAATATAAAAATATGTAATTTCTATATATATATTATATATTATAACTATATTACTCTATTTCTTTCAATGTATAGAAGTATGATTTCACTATTTGGGGGATTGTATTTAATTTGAAACACAGGGTATGTCTGCAACTGTGCAATTCTACTTGGCCTCAGGCACAGCAAGCTTTTACCATTAAAATGCACATTTCTGTCCATGTTATTTACAGCATCACTAGCATCACAAGTAGAAAGCTGGAGGCTTTTCTTTAATTGTGAGCTATGGGTTTAGCATCTGCTTATTCTCACACTGCATTCCTCTAGGTGTCATTGAAGTTTCTTCAGGAGCACTGCTTGCCTTTTCAGGTTTTGCTTTTAAGTTTTTAAATAACTTCTTATAGCAGGTATGAAATAAAAACATGTAAAGTTAATTAAAACCTTAAGTAAAATGATATGCAATTAATTCCAAATGCTTTTAATCTTTTATAAACTTTAAGTGAAGGAATTTAAGGGAAAAACATCTCAAAATATAAACAAACAAAAACTTGAATATTCTAAGACTGCTAGTATTGGATATTGCAAAAACAAATAACTGCATTGCATAATCATTGCATGTACTCATTCATAGGATTTAGGGACTTCTTAGGACAGATATTTAACCATGCAGAATTCTTCCAGGTTCATTCAGTTTGCACTCGTTAGCTCCTTACTTCAGTTGGTACTACAAATTTTCAAGTAATAGGTTTATTCCATGCTGAAAAGCGAAGAAAGAAAACGCAATGTTTCGGCTATGGAGCCTCCTTCGGGTGTGTTACTCACGATAAATGTTCTCCTTTTTAAAAAAAAAATGACAATCTTTTACAGCATAAGCTTCACCTGCTGGTGCTAATCATACTATTTTCAAAAGTTATGCCAGCACAAGCCGTTCTACCCATCAAGGATTATAACAACAGCTACAGATGAATTCAGATGACAAACTAAATCTGGTAAATTAAATAAATTAATTGTTGTCCATCACTTTATAAGATAAGAAGTCTTGGGATTTCTAAATATACATTTTGCTTTTAGTATCTCAAACTACAGGAAATCTAGAGAAAAAATAGACCTGAGAGAAGATAGATTTGGTGGCCTGGGATTACAGTTCCAGCTGTTTTGGGTAAAGTTAAAAAATCAGCCTTCATGATGTACATGTATTTATAAAACACGTTTAAGGATAGATTTATACCACTTTCTTGTTATACATTTGTGTGTGTTCTTAATCTCTCTATTTAGACTGTTATCACCACATGCTGAAAGTGAGGAAAAGGTGAATAATAATATAACAAGGATATAAAGGCTCAAAGTCACACGATTGGGCATTACATTCACAGTTGCATCTCCTTATCATAATCAGCTTTCCAGAAGGTATTTTTAGTTTTAATTAATGGAAAATAACATAAAAACAAAGACGGGAGAGTCACGTAGAGCCTATATCACAGTATCATAGCAAAAAATGTATTAATAAATTAGGACATAAAAGAAATGTTAACCAATTTCAATGTTCTTAACCACTCATATGTCATCAGACATACAAAAATCTTATTATTCATAAAAAGTTTTAAAAAGCCTGTGATAGAGCTTTCTAAAAATGTTCAATTTCTCTTTACAAACCTTCCACCATCGTCTCCATTTCCTATAGCTATCAGAGCCTCCAAGTCTGTGCCTTTCAGTCCATACTGAAGTAATTCCTTGGCTGCATCCACGTTCTCTGGTACTCGCTCCACACATTCGTGTAGTACCCAGGAGCGCTTCTTAATTTTGCTCTAAAAAATACATTGGTCTGTTGTTAAAATGCAATTTTGGACAAAGATTAAAAGATGGCTCAAATATTTCCTGTATAAATATAGTTGCTTTTCTTTATTCAAAATCGTCAACAAAGTCAGCGTTCAATAAGGAATTCATTCCAAAATATTTTTTTTACATTGTTCTGTGAGTGGTCAAGATTATCAATGAAACATTAAGTGCAGTATTCATCCAGATGCAATATTTTTAAAAACAAAATGCAAACAACCGAAATTTGTGGTTTATTATATTGATTCATTTTGCCCCAGAGCTCATTTTGACCCATTAAAGATATTTTTTTGAAAATACTATATATATGCTGAACAGTATTAATAATGCAGCAAATGAAATTTTATGGTACTTTCAGAATCCAAAAAAGTCAACTGTCATTGACAGAGACATATCTGCCCAGGAGCGGTAAGAGATACACCATGCCTTCTTTCACACTCAGAGAAAAAGCAATATATACTGTTATATGGAAGGTGTTGTCACTAATTAGCATCTAGAAGTACTAATCACTAAAAGCTATTATCTGTGCAATGATAAAGTGTCACTGATTAAATTACAAAATATATTTTAAATTTAAAAGCAACTAAATCTGAAATCAGAATCTTAACAGATATATCCACAAACCTTTACTACAATATTTTTTTTCTAAAAGCAGGTCACTATAATAAATCATTTCCCGTACATACCAGATAATCCTGAATAGATGCAATGCTCACAGTTGATTTCCTCCACTGCCTCTGGTATACAAGGTCTGAGTCCAAGCCATAGGCCTGTGCTAGAGACAGAGCTTCTCCATATTCTTCATTGTCAATCTAAATAGTAAGAAGTAGCAGATTAGCATAACCTTGCAAACACTCAAAACACTGGTTTGAATTTAGCTTTAAATATGCAAGACTGAATTCAAAAGCTATGTAAAATTCTCCGCTGCTTGTCTGGTTTAATCATATTTGGATGCACAGAAATACTGCAATAGATAGTTAGGAAAGAGTGTATACAGCAGTAAAAGTAACACCATCAGAAAAATAATGTATATGACAGTTATGTGACAATTACTGCCTAAGTAAGCAGATTAGTAAAAATTATTTCTGATGCTGCAATCATAAAATAAAAGATGACAAATAATAAAAGTGCCAAACGTAGCATTCAATAGCCTTCAATTTGTATACGATAATGACATAATGTTATAAATATCATTTAACACAATAAAATTATGTAATGTCATTAGGAAAACCATCCGGAAAACAATCACACAGAGAAATTGTTTATGAATTTAAACAAAAATATTATTCTGTGATAACCCTATAATATGCACAATATTTCTGAAAGGTGTAAAATGCTTCTACATATATACTGTTACAGCCGCCACCTAAGAATGTGCAAACGTTCTGAAACTGCTACTGTATGTACCTACTATAACACATTTGTTTTTGTTTATCATGGTAAACACTTAGAACACCGCTGACAGGTGATTAACACCTTACTTTGAAGAACAGCACTGATTAAATAGTGCTTTAGAGAAAAGTGATTCATATGACAAGACAGAAAGCAGATACACATAAATACACAATTATTTTAATTAAACTTGTAATGCTGGTTTGATGGCAAAGTCAGAATAAACTGACAACTAACACTTCAATCAATAAACGTCTACACAACCAATAGTTTTTATCCCTCGAGCTCTTTCTGGTGTCTGAATAAAAACCTAAAATAGACTTATGTTCAGTCCTATTTAAGTATTCAGATCTATAAAACACTTACTCTATGAACACACATACAAATAATGTGATTTTTTCTAGCCCTAGATTTTATTTAGATAAGTCTAAAAGTAATGTTTTCTGTGATTTAAACGACTTCTTAGTTTTGATAAAAATATTTAAATAAAAATTAGTAGCATTATTTTTCTAGCACAGAAAGTAAAGAATGCTTGTTTTATATTTTATATTTAGCATGTTTTAGATTTTTAATTTAATAAACTTAAAACCCGACAACAGTTGTACAGAACTAACTTTATAGTAAGTGTACAATTTTGGAATGTTAAGTCCAAGAAGAAACAAAGTCCTCTCCTTCTTAAACACACCTTTACTCCTTCCATTGAAAAAAAGCTCATTCACAATTCTGTGCTCACGATAAATCCAATCATTTTCCCTTCTTCAAAAGTGAAACACGTGGTCATCATTAACCTTAGGACAAGCAGGGTCAATTGCCTTACGATTCAGAGCTTGATCTTTCTTGGTGGTCCACAGACTTACATACAGTACAGTAAAGCACTCTTGTGAAAATAAATTCTTACTTTAAACTAAATTATGTGTTTTCTATCAACCTTCTCTAGATGATGTTCAATTTTCTTCACTACAGAGGTTGGGCAACTACCGTTATTGAGAATGTCTTGTACGTTTTTAGGGATAGGTCTTAAAATGTCATTGTTACACTGAATGAAGAGTGATCCACGACTATTTCAATTGGAAACAGATGTGGGCTCTTACAGGGGAAAACAGTCAACCTTTACAAAACAATAGGTCAAACCTAGCAAAGCATGCCAACAATATTGCCCTTGTAGAAAAGCAATGTACTGAAATTGATATATTGATTAATTTCTTCAAGGAGTTCAAATTGGAAAAAAAAAACTTTGGCAGAAAATGCAACCAAGATGCATCACTATTGGCAGACATATTTTAAAGGAAAAGGGAATGATATCTATTAATTAATATAAATAAACCTGTAGGAACACAGAGATGAACACAGGCATATGATTAAAAATCCTGAAGGTAATGACTCACTATAAAATCAAAAGGAAGTAATTATCAAAAGGAAGTAAATACACCAATGAACATTTTGAGTGCAAATAAGACCTTGTAATAAAAACAATGAAAACTAGATTCTCACAGTACGTGGAATCATATATATTTATATTTATCTTATATATTGAATTAATCTTGTTCTGTAAGAAAACAAAATAATTACAGATTCTTTAATGAGCATTATTATTTCATTATTAAATCACTCTTTTTGTTAATATTAACAATCATTGTAACAGTTTGATTTAAGATGCTCAGGAATGCTTTGGAAAATATCTTATTAATTCCTTTTAAATTAGGAAGGCCAAATATTATAAAAGCACTTAATATATTTACAGCCTACACAGTAATTAGAGGGAAAAAAATTAAGTCATGAGCCACTAGCATTAACCTAACAGTTGGGTTTACTTACCTTTCTTTGATAAAGCTCCTCTGGAGTAGTGGACCTCAGGCTCACAAGACGGTAATTTTTGGTAATGGTACGAGGCCGTTTACGTGGTGGTGCAAATCTCTCCATTTCTGTCACATAATACAGGCCCTGCTTCACATACCCAAAATACCGGGCCTTGGCAGACAATTCATCGTCTGAATCAGAATCATCTTCCCCCTCCTCTTCCTCAGTCTCTAGACGAGGCCTCTTCTGAGCTAGCTTGATCTCACACTGACCAAACAGCAACAAAGATCAGGACTCAGTTCAAGATACCACTATTGTTGACATACATTAATCTACAATTCTAATTATCAAGATATTTTTTGCTATTAATTTATCATTTTTTAGAACCGTAAATAAAGAAAACATAATTAATTGGTAGTATCACTTCAAACTAAAGTATTAATTTACATCACCTGTATTTTCCTGTTATTTTGCTTACAAAATGTAATGATTTGTTTCACTCATAGAGGCCTGCTATTTGAAAAAAAAAATGTCTCAGAACAAAGTATTCAGTATATTCAAAGTACTGACTACCAAACCACATTTTCCATCATTTAACCTCAAGATAAAAATTTTAACACAAAGAAACTTCACAATGACACTGGGGAAAAGATGGAAATTAAACCATATCCACCACTCAATGACATGAGATTCACATAAAATAATTACACCCATCAAAAAATACTACTATCTTGCAATTTAGAAAGAAGTGCCCTGGAAACCTGCCTTTAAGAATTTGCAGTATTTCAAAACAAGATTTAATTTTGATAACTATAGGATTATTTTTAAATATTAATTTACATATACTGTACTAATTATCACAAAAGAACCCAAAGAGCAGTGGATTAGATATTTCATAAAAAATTCAAGAATGGCTCTCTGGACATACAAAATAAATGTTTTATTGGGCCTATCATCTTCAGTAAATAGGCACACTTTGCAAAGCATCAGGCAAATGTGCTACTATAATTAAAAATGCCAAGATGAACAATTTAACTATGCCATGAGTCTATAATTAAACAGCATGGAATTACTAAAGCTTTCTTCCCATTTCACATGATAGTTTTTCACAGAAGTTTTCTAGGACACAATGAAAGTGGAACATATTCATAAAGATTGTACAAAAATGACACATACTGAGAAAACACCTCTATTTCTAGCATCTATGAATAATTCCCTTACGAACGTAAAATATTTGAGAACAAAAGTGATACAAAAAAAGACAGGTGTCTTTTTCTATATTTTTGTCTTCACTTGTTTGGACACAGAAAATAAACCTGAAGCCTCAGAAGTGATTTAAAATTCAAGAAGTATAAGTAAGGCTTATAAAGTTTTGATATAGAATATACTGCTACCGTAGAGCAGCCGTAGTTAAAAAAAGATATCTTTAAACAGTACTTTACTATTACTTTAATTTTAAAAAATTCTCAAAGACCCACAGCAAATGTATGTGCTTATTATACACTTCACTAAGTTTAGCATGTTAGAACTATAATAATACAGAAGAAAAATAAGCATGAGAACATTTTTTCGAACTGCAACCAAGAGCAGAACCTTCACTTTCTTATTTTAACATATTAAATGTATGTCACATCTAAGGAATATGACTTGGAGACTGAATTCACAGGAAAGCTACAATTGTATAGTACATCTTGTTTTGTTACAGAATAGATATGATCATTAATATAATTTAAAAAATGAAGCAAGACTTCAGACCAATAGATTTACCTCCAAGCTCAGGAAGCCTCCATCGTGAGCAGCAGTAACGTGGGGTGAAGGTTCAAACCACTCACATGACTTGCCCAAGAGGTTCTTCAGGGTTTTCACAGATGAGACAGTCAAAGAGCCAGAGCACCGTGCAAGAATAACTGCACTATCTGCCCACCAGTTCACATCAATCAGTGGGAAATAGCATTCCTTGCCTAGAAGTAAACAAAATCTTTCTACAGCACTGCTTTACAAGTAGACAAAACATTAAGAGTTTCAAGCATTTTGCTTTGTTAACAAATAAATCATGTCACAAGCACTTGATTCACGGGCCAGGAACTGCTGTAATGTCTGCTGTAAGTAATGAAAGTCATTAGCACACTGATTCCCAAACTGCAAACTTTCCTCACCTGGAGGGACCTAAAGGAGAAGGAGGTGTGAAATAAGTATGTTGTATAACAGAGCAGGAGCCATGAAATAAATCACATCCCCATTTAATTGAACCACCAATACAATTTACCATGTGACTATAGGAGAACATACTGCATACTTAAACTTGCATCACTGTAAACATCCATCCCTGCTAACTATAAATCTACCAATCTGATAATTATTTCATTAAAAGAGTAGTAAGAAACATTCAAAATCATGAAAAATATTAGGCACAACAATAGATTTTGGAAATCCGTTTTCATTCATTTAGAATTGAAAATAGTTTTGTGAGCCTTGGAATCTACAAGACTCGTAAAGGCCATTCTTCCTTTCTGTTACATTTTCAGAATGCAGTTTAAAAGCCCTGCATCACAAATAAATTCATCATAAAATGTAAATGTAAGCTATTCTGCACAACGAGATGCAATCAATGTTGTTCATAATCCTTTTGTGATAGGAATGGTAGCTGCCTGTGATTAACAGAGATTTCAGAACATAGGACACAGCTGATATACAAAACGTTACACGTACAAACTTGTAATCCACTACACATAGATTGATTATGAGTTCATGTTAAAAAGAATGGAAGACTAACAGTTTTTGTTTTGGTTTTTTTATGCAAAATGAAATGATGAATGAAATCAATATCACTGTTAAGAAAATGTAAATTAATTTTGTTGGAAGTGAGCATAGCATGTTTCGTAGGAATCAAATCATCTGGAAGTTCCTTTTATTTATGTTAATCTAAATCTCACCTATAATGTAGGTAAATTCACAGACGATTTTTTGTGAAAACTTTTAAAAGCGGGCATAAGTTGAAAAAGCAAAGAAAGCATATATTAACATACAAGAAACCTAAATTTATGTCTACAGCTGTCCATGAGTCCATGAGCCAGTGCCTTTCCTTGGCACCCTCTTAGATGGTCCACAGCAGAGGTCATCAAAAAAAGGAAAAATTATTATATATTTAATGAATGTGAACACCTGCATGAAAGTCACTCATCTTTTTTATGCAGTTTGACAACATCAGGTGTCAATGGAAAACTTTCAAATTTGAACTAGTAATGATACAAAATGGCTTGCATGCAATATGTAGTACACTGCACTGCAGGTCTACCGAATGAATATTTTAAATAGGTTTAAATTAAAGGTTACTTTAAATTACTGGATCATTGATTGGTAATTGATACCAAAATATTACAGAATCTATCATACAATATCTTTCTGTAGTAGATTAGCCGTAACATTGATGATAGATATAATTTGTTTAGGTCTAAACTTATAACTACTTGCATCTGTGTCTTTATTATCATTCAACTTTGTATGTTTTTTCATGTATACTGTATATACAGTGTAGGGAATTATTTTTGCTCACATTCATTGTGGTGCCTAGCAATTCATTTGTAGAATGCTGAAATAGTTTTAAAAATTGCAGAATTCTAACAGAATTGCAACAGAGAGAGAATTATATTGTACAAACGAGTGTGTCCACTTCCATTTTATGTTTAATATTTACATGTTGGTCTTACACTTAAAAGGTCAAATTTACAACCTAACAACATAAAAAAACAGTCAAAACTGTCCCAGAAATTAAAAGGACTAAGTTACCCACAAAAGCTGAAAAAAAATAGTCAGCTAGGTTGTGGCATTAAACTGCCCTAACAGCTCTAATCAATATGTTATTTATCCTGACTCAATACTTCATCAACTCTAGACTGTACAGTTTTGATTTTGCACAAATGCCATGCAAAAAAACATTCATTTTGCAGTACACACATTTTTGTTGCTTCCTATTTTTTTTTATCATTTTGCCAAAGAAAACTCTTTACACACCAGTGGGTGCAAGTCAGTTTACACTGTGTATTACAGCTGTAAATCTCTTATTTTCCTCACTGAAAGAAAAGTAAATACCTTTTATTTTCTTTCTTTTCTCAAGTGAATTTTTCCACTCTGGGTTGATCTCATCAAATCCAGGCTGGAGGAGGAAAAAATACAATTGTAAACTTTTTGCTTATGCTCTTCCCAAGGGGCCCAACTACACAGCAGTAACCCTGAGTCAACAAAGATGTATTAATATACAATGTGCTTGTCCAATCAGATTAGGTATGAATCATGGAAATGTTGCAGAAAAACAACCGTCAAAATGATGGTTTATTATTTTTAAACTCATATAACTTATTACTTTTGACTAAGCCACAATGTCAAGATTCAATTCAACATAGAGACAGAATGTTAAGATGACAGAATTATAATTACCTGAGATTCCTGACTCCACTCAGCCCTTTGTTTAAAAGAAGGGATCTCCCAGATAGTTAGCTGCCCTGAGAAATGTATTGCTGCCAAAAGGGTCCCATCAGGTGACAGACTCATCTTAAGAATACCATCCTATAATACATGTTTACAACATAAAAGCAATACATTTGATATAACAGTATTAGTGAACCCTCAGTACATTTTTTATTGTTCTGCAACATTACATCAATACAGATTCTTATAAAATGCTAAGGGTATTTTGTAGTTTACAAAAAACAGCACAGTATACACTTTCGCCACAAAATGACTTCATAATGCTTAATAAGTTGATAAAAAAGCGATATTCATGAATAAAGCACTGATTTACATTGACAAACGGCACTGCAAAATGCAGCTGCTGGAATTTTACTGGAGATTTTTCCAAGCAAATTAACTACTGCTACAGTAAGTAGGCACAGCTGTGTGTACTCTAGGCATTCTGCTTCACAGTGTTTGCAAAACATGTAAAGGAACAAGCTGTGTTAACTTCCATGCTGAAAAATAAAAAGAAGGAAAAAAGCAAAATGATTTGACTGTGGAACCTTCTTCAGGTGCCAAAAGCACATGGAGAAAAGAACGTCAAAACGATGTGCTTTTCTTTTCTTTTGACTTTTCAGTGGACAACTGACCTTGTTCTTTGCAGCTTACACACTGACACAGTTCCTCACTCAAAACCCACAAGCTGAGTATTTCTGTTTTTCAATTCATATAAAATTATCTCTATAGCATGTTTAGGCTGGCTGTAATCTCTCTCATTCAGTTTCCTCTCAAGCTAGTTCCAAATTTCTGAGTAACTGAAGTCAGCCAAGAAAAATATGAAGTTGTGAACAAGACTCAATGCTACTGTATATTCCAATAAAGCGAATAATCCAGAACCAACTACAGAAAAATACTGTTTTATTTTGGTGAGATCTAAAATTACAGCTGACTCACTGTCTTCAAACAGTGTTTTTCAAATGTTACAATGTTGCAATGTGTATGCTGTTTTAGGATGTAGAGGTCATCATCTGCAGCTATGATTTAAAGTTCAGCTGAGGGCAAGACATGGGAGATTTATTTTAATAAAACAAGCAAGTAAATGTGATTATTTCCAAATAAGGATGATTTACAATTATGTTTAAATTAAGAATTAATATTTGTGTATGTCTATTCCCTTAATCAAAGTTGAAAGTTTCTATAATTTATATAAAATGTTTATTTTTACTTTATTACTGTACCTCTTCAATCCTTTGCCTTGAAAAAAATCTCATCTTTATCTTTTTAAAGAATCCTCCTCTCTGTGTCTGCAAAACAAGCAAAACAAAAATTTGAAAATGAATCACATTTTTTCTATTGAAATAGAAATACTCTGGATGCTAATCATAGTGGAAAAGTGGTGTTGAAGATTTATATTTTTAGGATTTACATATTTAAAGATGTATAGAATCACATTTGATGTTTACTGAAATTGACATTATGTAACATTATGACACATTCTGTCAAGCCCTAAATCAGTCTAGATATCTGAGCAGTATATAAAAATAAACACAATCCTCATAATTTAGCAATATTAGTAACAGCATGACAAATCTGTAATCTATGTACAGTATTTAAAACTTTATCAATGGGCTCATGCAATCACAACAAAGAAGGTATATAATCAGTGCAGTGCTTCTATTTTATTATCCATTACTAGAATTCAGATTATTATTAGCTTCGCTACTGCTTTTCAAAAACTAAATAAACATAGAATAAACTTTTTGAAGTATTGCATTAAGAATAATCCCAAAGATGTAGTGGCTGGAGATTAAAATGACAGTTTTGAAATAAAGTTAATAAAGAATATAGCGTTTCATAGATGTCATCATTTCAAATGTCAATATAAAAAATGAATCCACATCATATAATTCTGATCTTTCTAGATCTCTAGCTATTCTATGAAAAGGAAGTCATTCAGTTTTATTTTTACTTTATTTGCCAAGATGACCAATGGCCACCTAGTACCTGACAGATGTCTAAAATCACTCAAAACAGCACATAGCTCCATATGTGGAAAGTAGCATTTCACCTTATTTCCACATAACTGTGGGACACCAGCTGTAACCGATTCCCAGATTCTGCAGTAAATTACGTTATTTATCCTGCGTCTTTTATTTTGGCCAAATTCTGAACATGTACCAAAGTGGTAAAGAACCTCCTACCCAGCACAAATCTAAAACATATAAGAGAGATGAATTATTCAACAGTACTTACATAACCCACATCATCCTCATAGCTGGTGACTTGTTTATAATAAGGAGAACCCGACAGAGCTCTCCAGGCTGTGAGACCACATCTAGTTGCTTTAGATGCTTCATTATCAGTGGCTTCACAGCCTCCAACCAGCAGCAACCTGTACAACCACAATTTTCACTTTATTAAGTAGAGAAGAAAAAAAGACACAAAATGGGCATTTGACAGTCTTATCAGCAGGCAGGCACAGTCTAAAGGACTTTAAGGTCTCTTTAAAGCCATTTGCATGGCAAGCTTGTAAGTTAGGCCTTCTACAAAAAGCTCTCATGCATCCTATTGACTGCAAAGCCTAATGTCTTTAGATGAGGACCAGAATCGTGGATTTTCATATTTTAATCACTGACATGCTGTGTGGCCCTGAGGCAAGATCCATTATCAGCTTGTGATTCAGCCAGGCTCAGCACCACATACGGGCAACTTGAAAAAAGAAATTGCACAACAACCTTTCATTACCTGGGGCTTTTCACTTGTAAATAAAAGAAGGCTCTCATAAGTTAAACATTAAGTGCCCTACAAATATAATTAAAAACAAAGTAACTAAGCAGGCAATAAAGTCTACAATGCATGTAAGTAACAGCTTTTTATATGGTATAAATGCACTACAGAAGTGGCAACATCCATTAGAAAAATACTAAATCATTCAGGTTCCAATTATGTAGAGTGTTAGTGCTGTGTGTTTCCTGAGAATCTTACCCATACTGAGTAAGAAGCAAGATGTGTCAAAAGATTATACTATTTTATATTCTATAACCTTCTAAGGAGCAATGAAAAAAATAACATTGAAATAATAAAGGAAAGTGCTTTGGTAGGCAACAGGCCGGATACAAAGGATAGATGATATACAGTGCCGAGCAAAAGTATTTGGACCCCCGCAAAGTTTTCATATTTTGGTGCTTGAAAGCTTGTGGTCATGATACTTTAAAACAGCCATTAATATTTTTCACATACTGTACACAACACACAGTATTTAAACACCCAAAGCAAAAAAAACTAAAAAATTAAGTTAAAAGCTAATTACTATGAGGAAAATGGAAATGTCATGATGGCAAGTATTCTAGCCCTTTTTTGTGATAAATTAATTTGGGTTCACAAAATTTCAGCAAGCCACAAAATTAGTAAGCAATCATAGTGGTTGACATGATCTCAGAATAAATATTCCTATATCTCTAAAGTCCCTCAGTCAGTAGGAATTACAAGCCAATATTCAACCATGAAGACAAAGCAGCTCTCAAAACAACACAGGGATATTTTTTTATAAATGCACAAATCAGGATAAGGGTGTAAAAAACATTTTAAATACAGTTAATATATATTTAAGATGCATAAAAGACAAAACTGGTTTAGGATGCCATCATGAGAACCACAGTGATTTTGAAAAAATGTCCTTGGGTCAACAATATTTCAGTTACTTTACAATAGGGGCTTGTAGGGAAAAAAAGCACATCTAAAACCCCACATGTAGTTTACAATGCACCTACTGAGACGACAAATGTGTGAAAATAGGTTTTGTGGTCAGACAAAATAAAGATTGTGTTTTCTGGTGTAAATGCAAAGTGTTACAGTTGACACAAACCAAGCATAGTGCATCTCTCAGTCTCACCACCCTTACTCTAAGGCATGGTGATAGCAACATATTTTGCATATGTTATGTTATAGTTCAGCTTGTCATTAGTAAGAATTAGGAAGCATGTCAAGTCTGAAGGGAATATAGATGGAGTGAATTACTGGCAAACCTAAGAGGAAAACTTGCTTAAAAGGATGAAAATTTACCTTTAAGCAGGACAATGTTCCAAAAGCACAAAGCTGAAGTTACACCGAAGAGGGCTTAAAAATAAAAATTAAAGTCCTGACATGCATCTTGTTGAGTTTTTGTGAAAAGACTTGAAACCTGCAGTCCATATGCAAACCCCAAGCAACTTAAGAGAGCTTGAGCAAATCTGCCAGGAAAAATGAGCAAGAACTAAGTTGATGTGCAAAGGTGGCAGAGACTTCCTCAAAGTCTTGCTGTAATTTCTGAAAAGGGTCCTTCCACCGAATACTGAGTTCATGGGTCTGAATACCTAAGCTACCAACAGATTACATTTTTTTCTATTAAATTTTGCTGACGTTTACTGTACCTTATCTTACTCTTAGACATTTTCAGTTTCAGCATTTAGAATTTGAATAAAATATTAAGAACATTTCTTGGAATTATTTTGAAATTTCCCAAATGGGACAACACAGAATGTATTAGTCTTGTTTTGTTTTTTTAATTACTGTATAAATATGTAAAACTTTTTTTCTAAGAGTGTAAATTAATAAGACTGTCCAGATATCAGGAGATGTATTTGGCTCTATGAGTTAAGGCAATAATTACAAAAACAAAATAAATAGCAGCTAAGAAAATCACAGAAAGTATAAAGTGCAATTTTTAAAAACCTTTCAACTACTCCTGTTTTTACACAGTGGTAATAAAAATGACGTAATGATAGATAAAATGCAAAACCAACAAAGGAAGCTCTTTATATCTTGCTTTTCTTATTCCTACATACTAAGCAAAGCTGGAAAACTCGGACTGTAAACCCTATATCAAAAATTCTGACAAACTAATAAAATATTGAATACATACTGCCCCCTTGTGGAATTCAGTATTTAATTACGGCTGCTGTACCTGCTGACATTTTCATTACCGGGTGAACACTGGGGAATGTACATATGAAATATCTACTGCTTTTCTATGGTTTTTTTTATATATAGCTAGTGCTCACATTGGAATACACAGTAATGTGTATTATCCATCCTATCATTAGCCTCAGAGACAGAGACATTCATGGCCAAGACACAAACAGCTTGCACAAAATGCTAGAATATATATAGAAAAGATCAGTACAAATCCTTATAATGACAATTTTCAAAAGATAATAATGGTACGAGAAGATGAACACTATTTTGTCTTTTACACATCCACCTTATATTAATACAGCTTTAAACCAGTGCACTGCAGCATAAACTCATCGATGCAGCATAATGGGAAAGGAAAAAAAAACTGCTGGGAAGGATAAGGAGTCTGACTGAGAAAATGATTTGTATGGTGAGCAGAAGAGATTAAATTAAAATTAACTGCATCCTATTCAGTCTAATGTAGTGTGCCATCTGCCACACAATGTTTCAATAAAACTTAGCACACAGATTAATGTAAAAATGCAGGATGTTTTTTCAAACCACCACCACCGGTTACTAAGGTGAATCTAAAATCCACCTCAATGGCAGAACCACAAATCTTATAAATGCCTGAAATACCAGATGTTTAATTTGCACAATACTTTTAACATGCATACTGTTCTAATACAGGCCCTTGCCACATAAGGTCTTTTTACCCTTGCCGACTGCTTTTATTAATCTCAGAATATAATCCTGCAATTTCCTAAAGAATTACAGGGAATCAGTTTCAGCAATGCTTGGGTAGCTTTGTCTAAATGAATTACAATAATCTGAATTATAGATCTTAATCATATAGTGCCTATAGAAAGTCTATAACCCCTTCAACCTTTATCACCTGTTGATGTGTCAGTGCCTCAGAGTTCCATGCATTTAAATGAGGATTTTGTTCCTCTTATCTACATACTATATTCCACACATTTAAGAGAGAATATGTTTTATGGGAAAAATATATATTAAAAATACAAAAGTGAAATATCATAATTGGATAAGCCTCCACTGAGTTAATACTTAGTGGAAGCTTCTTTGGCTCCTTTCAGTTCTAAATCTGTCCAGTTAGGTGTCTGCCAACTTTCCACGCCTAGATTCTTCTATACAAAACTGTTCAGGCCCTGTCAAGTCCTTTGATAGCATTGAATTTTGGGCTCTGGTCCTTCAAGGACATTAACACATTTTTGATTTCCCTATCCAATCGAGTGTAGCTTTGGCCACGTGATTTTTGTTGCTCTCTTGTGGAAATACCAACTTTAGTCTCAGTTTTAGGTTTCTTGCAGAGGGCAGCAGGTTTTTCTTTGCTCCATTCATTTTCCCTTCTACAAATGGAAATATGGTCTAGTCCATGCTAACAAAAAGCATCCCCTTAACATGATGCTGCCACCACTATGCTTCACAATAGGGATGATGTTCTTTGGGCGATATGCTGTGTTTGGTTTGTGCTCTGCATTTAGAACACAATGTTTCATTTTAGTTTTGTCAGACCACAAAACATTTGGCCACGTTTGCAGTATCACGTAAATACTTTGCTGCTATTTTTCAGCAGTGGTTTATTTCTTCCCATCCTGCCATACAGGCTAGATATGCAGAGCGCTTAGGATATTTCCCAAGTTGCCTATGGCCACTTGTTAGCATCTCTGATCAGTCTCCTTCATGCTCAATCATAACGTTTGGAGGTATAGGCTGATTTAGGCAGGATCTTGCTGGTGCCGTACACCTTCCACCTTCCAGGGATATTCAACACCCTTGAAATGTTTATACCCATCCACCTGTCCCTCTCCATAACTTTGTCCCAGAGGTCTTTGTAAGCTCCCTGATGCTCTTTGTTGGGTCTTTGCTTTAAAAGGCACTACCCAGCAGAAGGATTCTTCAGGGACTGTTGAATTTCTGCGGAAAGTCAATGATTCACTACATTTGAAAACAGGTGCAGACCAATTAACTTGGCGTGTGATTCTGAATAATGGATTTCATTTGAGCTAATTTAGGATTGCTATGACAAGAAGGATGGACACTTATCCATCCAAGTTATTTCAGTTTTCATTTTTAATTTTCTAAAAAATTGAGTCATATTCAGCTTTTCCTCCTAGTTTTTCTTTTTTAATTGAAACTTATCATACCATAGACATCTTCAATTTGAGAATTCAGTTTTTTTAACATTTTTATTTGACAAAATTGACATTATAGGAATGAGTAAGAAGGGTGGATCCTGAATTCTTCTTCAGGACACAATATACTCATATATAGTAGATTCATTGTTGTGGCTCAATGTTGTGGCTGAAAAGAGACTTTGAAACACAGGGAGGGTCACATAGTCATTCATCAGTGGCTGACTATGGGATTAATCAACTGTGAATTCTAGAAGGTGTGGGTTGGGTTTAGCACCCATCCTCACTGGCAGAGCACTATTGAGACCGGGGGGCATCCTTGGCGTGCCACGCACCAGCAAACCCAATGACCTGCTAAGCACATGGAAGCTTGCATTGCTGTCACAGCTGCACTACTTCTCATAACAATGCTAATTCTCCCAGAGGAACTTCGTTATCTGGAATGTGAAAAATGACAGATGGCTCTCAGAGATGCACCTTTTTGATGATACCATTCCTTACCCATATCGTCCATAGAGGCACAAGGACTGATTATCAATAACCACATCAAATTTTGGTGGTAATAAAAAAACATAACAATTCCATTAAAAATTATGTTAGGGGAGGACATACACAAGAAATATTTAAAAGAAAAATAATAACTAGGAAGGATAATCTGAATCACAAAGAAAATAACATGCAAGGACAATACTCTTTCAGTGAATGATGGATGTCATGCTGATATTTACTTAATGCTTATTTGTTTTGGTTGCTCACACCTCAGTCAAGGGAAAGGAATACATAGGCACATCATTAAAAAAAATGAAGACTATGTACATCTGTCATACCTTGCCAAAGCCTGTAGATTAAGGCAGAAATATTTCCTCTCCTTCAGCATTGAAAGGTGTTATCTTACAAATGTTTATTTACCTGTGGCCATGGTGGTATATTGCTGTTGTAATTCCATGAGAATAATGCGTTCCAAAGCTGAAACTATGGTTTTCTTGGTAGCTCTGGTTGGTCCCCACACTGTCAAAAATAATAAGAATACATAATATTAGTAGTAACTGAGTATAAAAGTGTGTGATAATTATTAAATCAAACATATTGGGGTTAAATAAAAAAACAACAATTATGACACTATGGCAATTATGATTAATCATGTGGTGTGGCACTGCCACTGTGAGCTATTACATGGGCTATAAAGGCCAAGAGAGAATAATCAGTATTTTATGAGTAAGAAAGTTGGATCTTAATGAGTAAGCAGAATGATGAGGCAAAGTTTGACAAAAGCTATACACCAGTAATAGCCTTTATTGATGTTGTACCAAAACGTCATCAAATGAATTGTACTTAATTAAAATGCACAGAAATTATTAGTATGTGGAACAGAGAAGTTTCAGATGATCTGGAAATGTTTTCAGATCCTAAAATGTTGGAAGGGAACGTAAATTAGGATTAATTTAGGAATTTATGTTTCTAGATTCAAATTGACTAAATGTATTATGCTTTTTAGGAAATGGTTTATGTGTTATAGGATGAGTCCCTGCTTAGTATCAACACATCATTAAGAGATAATACATTAAAAGTTGTTTCAATATATGTGGTCAAATAAAGATAAAATAGGTTGAAGGCAACAGTTCTATTTCCTTAATTTCGTAGCAGGAACATACAAGCAAAAGGTTATTTCTGAAACTAAGGACAGAGAACAGAAAACAGATTAAAAAACTATACAGCTGAATTTTGAAAAAAAGTTTAATTGATATCTCAATAAGTCAATTTAATTAGGAGCTTAAAAAAGCCATGAATGAGGCTTGCTATACCAAGAGTATCCAGTTCCAGTCCCAGAGAGCCATAGTCCTACCTATTTTTAAGCAGCTTTAAATGTTCAATGAGAAGAGATCTAGAAAGCATTTCAGCTTCTCCTAATTAAACCAACAAAATTTAAAATTTAAAAAACACTAGCTCTCCAGGGCAAAGCCTTGACACTGCTAAGTCATATAAAGTGCAAAGACAAATGATTTAGATTAAGAGGAACACAAACTTGCAGTTTTTAGATTGCTCGATCCATTTGAGAATATTGACAGAGAACTGACAAAGAACCACTTACACAAGTCCTCTTATCTGCTCTCTTAAGGAAATTATGTTGAGATTTCTATTAATTCTATGAATGCCCGTGTCCTGTGTACTGCATTTTAGAATTAAATTTAAAAAAGTATTCAGTCTTTCAAGTTTATATTTAGATAAAAACCACACAGGGACTATACAGAGTATCTAACTTTGCTGCTAAGTGTGTTAATTCATAGTTAAATTGTCTGTTTTAAAACATTTGTACAGTATGTACCAGATAAACATCTTCAGTACTGTCTCCTCAGCCTCTACAAATACGAATTATTTGACCTTAAAATTATACACACCCACTAATGTGGACTGATACTTGCACTTTCAAGTACTGGGCATACAGTACATACTGTGTGTTATAGAAAATCTCTGGAGACAATTACTCGGGACAACATGGTCCACCAGTGCTGTGTTATTTGTGTGAAAAAAAACAACAACAAAAAAACAGCTTTAGTATTCAAAAACAAATTTAAATTCTATGAAAAAAAACTTTGTACAGTATATAACAAAACCAATCTATTGATATGCAGAATTCACTTTAAAAGCAAAGATTGCCACAGAAGGTCTTAAACACGTTATACTTACAGATGTTACAGTAAGGATGCAAAACCAAGGATTTTGAAAAATCACTTAACATACACGAATCCCTGCTTGATATTCTTAGACAAATGTACAAAATGTACTCTGATTAAATGATCAAGGTGTCTGCATCCCACAGTAACAAAATCTGACACAGAATATGTTTGTCGTCACTAGATAAATTAAATACAGCCTATTTACAGAAATGTTAAATGGGTTTTAGTTGGTTTTAGTTCTAAATGGAATTTCAGGCAGTCATCAATTTATGTAGGGGTTACATTCCTGAACTTGCTACAACCCAAATTCTATGCAAGTTGGATTTTTGTAGGTACTGTATAGGATTTTTTAGGCATAATGAACCTAACATTTACGATAAAACTTAGGCATCGGAGACATGATTCAAAGTGTTTATACTTTTATTTTCTTACCCCTTTATGCGATATAGGGTCATTGGGGATGATCCTATCCCATCAAGCAATAGGTGCTAAATGGGGTACACCCTTGACAGAACGCCACTCCATTGCAGGGCACATACAGACACAAAAATCCACACACACCAGGGCCAATTTTTCTGAAGAGCCAATTAACTTACTGTACCAGAACATACAAATTTCATGCAGACAGAATCCCAGGAATTTAAACCCAAGGCCCCAGCACTGCGAGGTAATAATGCAGTGACACCACGCCTGTTCATCAGTTATTACAAACTACACTTTAGAAAGAAGAACAAAAATTAAATCTGTTACGTAAAGGAAACTTAGACTAAAAGATATTTAGGTGGCCAGGTTAACATTATACCTAAGCTGGGTATGGGGAACTAGAATTCTCAGCTCAATCTTGCAAGTTTTACACTTACCTTAAATTGGCTTTTAAGTCTTGAAAAAACAAACATGAATGAAAAACATTTTACTTTATTAATTTGGGATAAGATGTCTCTGATGGAAAACATTTCCATATTCATATTTTATTAACTGTATTCTGTGGTTGTAAAATTGCTAGTTATTAAAAGGTTCCTAAGGTTTGTTACCAACCTAAAAGTTAATAGAAAATGAAAAATAGAGCAGGAATACTGTCTATATTTTTGCTTTGCTTTTTTAAGAACATTATTTTAGCTAGCACATTCCTAGGTTATGGTCAGAAGGATCATTTTCCAATCCAAGCTCCAAAATACCTGCAAATATCAAGTAGATAATTTGCTTAACTGCACCAATATAGCCCTTTTCCTAGTTCTTAGACATTTCAATTCAGAATTTTAAGAACCTTCATTGGACAGCAGCCCTCTAGACCAACTGCTGGCCATCAGCTCCATAAACAAGCAAAAACAAAACAATATGTAAATATTAACAGAATTTACAAACATTCACAGCATAACTAATAATGACTGCAGCAAAACCAAAGAGGCAAAATAATTCAGTTTACCACTGGATAATCTATACATCCACTTCAAATAACTTCAAATAACATCCACATCCAAAACAAGGTCACAGTAAGCCTAATGCTGTAAACAATGGACACCTGACAGGATATACCCTGGATGAGACGCCACTCTAAAGGCACAGCAATGCATATGAGCTCACTCTCATAGGAGGGACAAGTTGTGTTAATTAAATGTGAAAATAAGCCTTTTGAAAATCCAAGCTTCAACAAAGAGAACACTTCAATTTCACATAAAAGGCTCCTCGGTCTGTAACTGAATCCAGCAGTGCCATGTCACTATGCCAGTCCTAATCCATTTCATTCAAAATATATGCTAAATTTAGAATTCCTATTCAACTAGTCATGACATTCATGCCACTACTTCTTTTTCTGAAACAAAAGCTTCTATATTAAGATTTATTGCAGAAATCTTTCTTTAAGTGTTTGTGCTTTGTTTTTCTTTTCATTTACCTGACAAGGTAACTCTTAAGATGTCCTCGATAATTAACAACAAGTAGCTCTGCTGACCACTGGGCGCTGGCTGTGCACTCCAAAAAAATTAGGCCTGCCACAGCATAGCTCAAGTCACCTGAAGAACTGGTAGCCTGTGGGGAAAAAGAAAAATCAACATGCTGAAGGGTAAGCAAATTTAAGTTACACAATGTTGTGCATTGACTGAGGTTTTATGAGATGGATTAATGTTCTAAGGAAACTCAGGGATGACGACTCCCTGTGATTGTGAAGGCATCTTCTAAATATACTGTCTTCCATGCATGGGTGAGGAATCACAACATAAGTTCTCTCACACGAAAAGAGTGAGGATGGGATTTCCAGGAGTATAGACAGAAAACCCTAGAAAGGCTGCTAGAGAAATGTACATTTAGAATGAAATTTGTTTTTGTATAGAGATTTCTGTTTCTCCTTTTGTGGATTGTTTTTAAATCATTTACTCTTACAGAGTGATCCTTGCATTCAGTTTGGTATTAAAAGGTAGGATTGGAAGAAAGAACCCTTCAACAGAGGCAAATGAGCAGGTTTTGTATGTGAATGCAACTTTAGAACTTACATAACCAAAGTGAAATATTTGTTTAAAATGCAACCAAAAAAGTAATTTAATCTCAGATCATCTTCATGGAATACTTCAGGTTAGGTTCTAGTACTGTAAATCCATGAGAATATCAGGAACTTTTTTTATAAGAGTAAATATGGAAATGTAAGTATTATATTAACAGTTAATAAATTTGTTGTAATGTAAGTTATTAATATTTACGTTGTATTCATATACAGTGCTATATATACAGTATATATTCATATCCCAGTTGAAAAAAAAACAACAATTTATACATTTTGATAATGTACTATAAGATTAGCAGCATATGCTAAATAGCTAGATTTGCTACTATAATCTTAGTAGAATTGCACACAGATTATTTTTTCATTGTATCTCTAATTTCAGCTAAACTTGGAGTTTTTCCTAAATGTCCTGGTATATATTCCATCCAATCTAGAATTCAAAGCCTCCAGGAACCACAGATGCAAATTACCCCTAAAAACTAACATACCCTTCACCATATTTCTATGTAGGTTTTCTACAGGAATATCAACTGTTTTGTATCCAGCATAAGGCTGATGCCTTATGCCTTGTCTACAGATTTCAAATGCTGCTATATTACATTATAGGACATAGTTCCAATTATCATTCAGATGTAATCTGGTAAACTTGAGTCACCTCTTTTAGTGGTTTCTCCCTTTACACAAACTTTTTGTTGTTCATCTACACTTACACATATTTGTTACTAATCTTATAACAGTTAATATACTATGGATTCATTATCTATTATGAGTTAATGTTGCTTACCAAACATTTACAGTATAAAGAACCTATATAAACCATTATAAACCACTATAAAGAAATCCACAGAAAAATGAGAGCAAACACTAGTTAACAAAATAAATTAGTATACAGAAATACAAGTACCACAGAAACTCTGATTTGTTAGAAGAAATTCTTGTACTGACAGGAATATTAACAGAGGCACAAATAAAAAGACCATCTGCCTCAGACTGCCAGCATTCAGTGGTTATAAATTTTAATGAGAAGCCTCTGTACAGTTTAATCTGCTTCAGGCTGATGTTTTCAGTCTCATTTTCATGCATTAATCCTGATACAAAATAGGTACCCAGACTATTCCTACAGTATATAATCTGTTTTAATCCATAAAATTATTACCGGAGGAATAATGAAAAGTTCACTCCCAATCAGGTCAAACACCCTCACTGTCCCTGTGCTTTCAGCATATGCAAGAAGTGTGCAGTCATGACTCCAGGCAACTCTCCTCCACTGAGGATTCGGATCTTTAGAAACTGTGGGAACAATAAAAAAAAAGTTTAATATTTCAAACAAACTGCCATCTGAAAATCTTAAATGGTGCCCAATTAAAATGTGAAAGAAGTGATTTTTATGTTGTCTCTATTTTGTCAAAATGTATCAATGTCTTGTTTTCAAAATTCAGCCCATGGACAAACGTTTTCTTGGGATTTGCATATTATTTTTTTTCTACCATCACAATTGTATAAAACAGTAGTGCCCCCTTCAGTTGTTTTAGCAAAAAATGTTTCAATCCAAACTGGAAATCTTCTCATGTAAAGTAAAAAATTGATACAATCATAGCTATCGTTAAGTCATTCTGTGGTAAAACTGGGAAAATAATCAAGATGTGCAATGTGCATAAACAAAAAAAGTTTTGAAAATCACAGCAAACCTGTTTTGAGGAAAGCACAAAATAATATAAAAGGATTTTTTCCCAACCAAATAAAAGTAAAATGTATTGTCAAATTCTGCAGTTCCCATGACAACATACAACTTGGGCTGTAGGGCTGCAACCAGAAAAGAATAAAAGTGAAACATGAAATGCAACTGAGACTATCTATTCAAGACATGTAGAATTCCAAGACTATATATCTCAAAAAATTGAATTAATTTATGATAATTCTCTCTTAATGATTTGCACTAGAAATGAATGACAGTTTGAGTCAAATAAAAAAGCCACCAACTTGGATAATGATCTGGCTAACATTATTACTCTTTTAAATTCAGCTGTAGCAAATTCATCAAAATCAATGACAAAGTACAGTATTCTTAGATAAATATGAAATACTGGAGTGGATTTTGAATTTCAAACTTTCATTAATCTCTCAGTTTCTTTCTCATTTTTCATTATGACAAGCTGGAGTAATGAAATTAAAGTGACCTCTGCAGTTTACTTCCATCCTGTAATTTGCCTCTCATTTAATTTTACTTCAGCACCATACTGTATCCAAGTATCAAAGCTAAACATTAACACAGGGCAAAGGGATGAAGATAAACCACATCAGTCACACAGCCCTTAACAAATCAGAAAGGTCCAAGTTAACAATGAGTGATACAATATGAATTCCACATTCACAGATGTGCTACAGTATGTATCCAATCAGGTGAATGAATTAATGGGAAAACAAAAAAAGGAAAAGGTGATATGCTTTCAACGGGTGCAAGGCAGGATACACACCAGACAGGTCATCAGTCCATCACAGATCAGACACACACACTCAAACCTAGGGCCATTTTCCCAAGCCAATTAACCTACCAGAATGTTTTTTAATAGTGGGATGAAACTGGAACCCCCATAGGAAACCAGTACAAACATGGGGAGAACATACATCTTAATGCAGACAGCACCACAGGTCCAGAATTCAACCCAGAGCCCTAGAGCTGCAAGGCAGCAATGCTAACCCCTGGTACCACCAAATCAACCACACACGTACAGTATCAATCCTACAAAATACTTTTTTACCACTTAACATAAGATAAGTGGACCTTTGTAGTTTTGATTTCAGGGGAAGAGCATGCTGAATGATGAGTTTTCCATCCCATGATTCATTCCATCCTCATTCTATCATTCCCATAAACACTGACCCTTTTAAATCCAACTCTATAGTCTATAAAATAGAACACATATCCACTGAAAGAAAATAAGGGGGTGGATGGCTTCATAATCACTACAGGGTGCAGGGTCTAAAATTCTATATGTTCTAAAATGTATCAAACGAATAAATCATTAAACAAGACTCAAAATGTTACGATACCAAAAACATACAAATGTGGAAAATATGTTTCGGAGGTAATCTGGAATGAAAGAAGTGAAAAAATAAATCGCTATTATTGTGTCAAATCACTGTGGCAATTAATTTGGCCGCATGCTTAACTGTGAGCACAGTAGTTCATTAATTACTATAACAGAGTTCTGCATCCTGCATGGGCTCTGATTAACTTCCAATCATTTTGCAGCTGGTTTCTAATTAATTATCTGTCAGCAGAGACAACCAGGAAACTTTGCATGAAATGCCATCTCAGTGCTGCATTAACTCAACCAGCATATTTTTGCACTGCAGGAACAAGATTCACACTGCAGGTTTACACAGCATCAGCAAAGCAATTTATTTTCTTCTGATGTATGCATAACTTTTCGACATCTGAGAACTCGTTATATCTAAATAAATTAACCAGTAATCTTGCTCTTAAGAAGGAAAGGACGTTTTTCAAGAAATATTCAATGACAACATTAAATTAATTAGAAATAGCAGTTTTAACCTCATTACCTAATCTAAAACCAGTAATTTCTCATGATTTTTTTTAGACATTCTCCGCAAATAAATTGTCAGACTAATTAATTTACAGTGGAACAGGTAGCCCATTTTTTCATCTGGAAAAAAGAACCTTTATATTAAGTTCCAAAGGAAAAAGGCAACATTAAAATAATAATTTAACTGAAACATTACCTTGACATTTTCCAATGACTGAACCAAAATCATCTCTTGCAGATCTAAATGTTTAACAAGATAAAGTATTAGATGAGCAGAAAAGAGCAGTGGTCACAATTATTTTGCCAACAAATAATGCAGTCAATACCGTCTAAACCAGTAGATTTTCTGTCTAAATGCAGATTTTTTACATTAAAAATCTACATTTTTACCATTCAGTACACCTCTTGTTGGGTTTAATATGCTTTGTTTCTCTTTATACTATTATTTAGAAACCATACTTTAACAAGGTATTGTTTTAGTTACTACTTCTTAAAATGAAACAGACCATTACATTAAATAAGACAACTCTCAACCAAAGTATTTATTCAATGATATTTCATTTAATGTAAATTTAATGTTTGACTGGATGTTTTGAAATTAATTGTAAATTAAATGCAGAGATATAGCCATCAGTGGCAACATATTGTCATATATGAATTATACATACAACAAAAACATGAATTCCACATCCAGGTTTCATATGATAAGATAAGATTTTATTGTCCCGAGGGAATTTTTATATGGACACCCAGCACTCCTGTACATTTAAATACAATGCAAAAAAAAGAATAAAAACATTGCAAATTATACTATCACAAAAAATAAGAAAAACATTGCACATCATTCTATTGCACATGTACAGTATAACATAACAACATGTAACATTTATAACACATCACAAAACATATTGCACTCAAGTGGGTTGTAAGAGTCAAAATTGTGTTTATCCTTGACATTTGCGCTGACAGCTTAAATGGATAGTGGAACAAAGGAATGTTTGTATCTGCTTGACTTACATTTGGGAACCTTTAAATGTTTGCCAGAAGGAAGAAGTTGATATTCAAAGTTGAGGATGTGGAAAGGATCTGATATAATTTTTCCTGCCTGTTTGATTATTGATTTTTTTTAAAGATTGTCTGCAGGGAGAGGTGCTATTTCACACCCATGACCTTAAAAGCTGTCTGGATGAGGCGAGTAACTTGCGATTTAAACTGAACTGATAGATTACCAAACCACACTGAAATACCATATCTGATAATGCTCTCGATTACAGCACGGTAAAAGAGCAGCATCACTTCCTGTCGAACCCCAAACACTCTTAGTCTTCGCAGGAAATACAGGCGCTGCTGAACTTTGGAGAAAACACTCCATGTTGAAAATTTGCCATTACACTCAAATGTAGTATGTGCAAATTAATAGCAAAACAAATTTCACCCAAGCACAAAATCGGAACTCAAATAACAAAAGGCAACATTTTCCAATATTCTATGTTTACTAATATTATTAATGTGGTGGTCACAGGTAACGAGGGTAATATATGGGACACAAAGAAGGAGCTAGGAGGTTTATAGTACTACTCATACTTGTAATAGGATTATTACATGTGATAATATTTAGGACTGCAGACTTGCTAACTCCAGAACGAATGGAAACAGGAATTACACTATTACACCGCCAGACCACAGGGCTATAAAAAAGAGATTTGTTCAAAATCACTTTCTTGGTACAAGACCTTAGCTCTAAGGCGATGCTCCATGTTATCATGTCCCTACATTTTATATGCCTTACTTAAGGCTTTGGTTAAAATATTTTAGATAGAGTCTTTCAAGACAACTGACCTTAAATATTAAATATATCAAGAGAATTATGTATGCCAAAAATATTAAGTCACATCGTAGCAAACAAAGGTACCCTTCATCTGACACCTTTTTCTTAACTAATTCATTCAGAATTTTATGTTGTTAATTGAAATGAGGTCCTTTATTGAAAAATTACCAACTGTAAAGATGGGGCGGGGATAACTAAATTAATGCAACTCTTCACATCAAGAATATTTACGAGCAACAGTTTACTCAATGGGAAAAATATAACTAGTGAGTAACAGTGAGAGTGATTTTTTAAAGGGTATTTACCTTGTGACTGTTTAATTTTATTCAGTATTACTGACACAAAAGATATTAACTGAATCCTAAAATTCCTGCTTGTGAATCTACTGATAGCACTTTGAGGCTGACACAAGAAGGATAGTAGTTTTAAATGGATAAACTGTGGGGTGAGAGTATTAAATGTACCCTGAACTCTTCAACATTTCAGAATACAATTTCTGGCCAATTTTTACAAAGGCCAAGTGATTCAAGTTTGCTGTGCCATGATGTGGCACTAGCTAAAGCAACATAAAGTACAGAAATTTGGTTATAGTACATTCATATGCTGGATATTTTTTCTTTAACACTTCAAGTAATGTGACACTTTAAAATTATATAGTATTTTTTATTCATTTCTGGTTTAAAGACTTTGACGACGAATGAAGCTCATACAAGACAGGCTATATTTCACTGGCTTTTAATATATTTATGAATGTTTCAAGAAGTGTTTATAAACAATACTGTAAAATGCCACTGAAATGAGAAACAAATTATACCCTCCAAAAGTATTTCAATCCATCGAATGTGATAATTGTTATTTATTAATGACAATGGTCAGACTGTTGAAAACTTTGGAAATTAATAAGTATGCAGAGTTACTGTTCCATCCAAGAGCAGCAAACACAATAAAAATGTTGATATGAAATTAATAATAGCTGAAATGGGTTTTAGCAGCTGTAATTTCTCTTATATGATCTTTCAAAACATTGCTTTTAAATTTAATGAACACATTGAGAGAAACTGATTTAAATGTCTTAAACAAAATTCAGACATGTTTTCATTTTTTTGCTGCCAATGTTGTGTTTAACTTCTTTTTATTAATGTTTTCATACTGATAGTTAGCTGATGTAAACCAGGAATGTCCGGCTATTAAAAATAAAGGAGTAGAACTGGCAGGTTAAAATTAAGATTGGTATGCTATATGGAGAGTTACACTGTAAAGTATTAGCTTTTTTCCCCATTTACTTTCTGAACACAAAAAGCAGAAAGAAAAACACCAAATAAAAAAGCTTTTCTGATAAAATGTCATCTGAGAAAATGAAATCCATAGCCATTAACAAGATACATACTGTAAAAAGAAAGAAAAACATCTACTGTTTCTGTTTCTATGGTTTAAACAATAACCTAGTTTGCATGACATAAGATACTTAATATGTACGAAAAATTGACTAAATAATTATGCCCTTTCCTCTAGAGATTATTGGTGCTGTAGTTGATAAGTATAAAACTGAACTGTAAAAAATAACCAGTTACCTGATTTCCACACACTGATCTTGTACAACAGCCAGCAGTTTTCCATTGCTATGAAAGGGAGTAGATTGATTTACTTTTAGACATTCTATGAGCCATATAGAACATATTCTGTTTACAAATTACAAACCAACACTTTATCAAGACTTAACAAATAATATTAAATTTAATTTAAAAGCATACAAATATATAAATAAGTTATCTTGTAGCTGCCCTAAAAAAGATCATTATTCTTACAAACACATTTTTAAATGTGTAACCCTGATTAATAAGCCTTAATGTGTGCACTGTAGTACAAAGTTAATTAAGATTACCTTGCAAGAACCAGCTGCCAGTTAATTTCTTTACTGACAAGACGAACAAGTCCGGGAGGCAGAGAACAACTTGAAGGACTATATATTAGAAGATAAAGCATTTATATGTTAGAAAACCATATCTGAAAAAAGGTCAACATAAGGATAAATAATTACCACTTTTAACTGCTGAAAAAAGACATCACATGCCATGGGCGATACGTTAATTAAAAGGCACAATTACTCGAGTTTAAAATATTGAGTTAAATGGACTGTTGTTATAACCAGCCTGAACACAATTTAATTAGTAAAGTCTTTGTGAAGAATAAGATTAATTATTTTTCCCTATCGGATTCTGGTCACAGGTCTACAGCACACTAAAGTGAAAGTGTTAAAATAGGTACCTTTTTTTGCCAAACAAAAAATTGTCATTACACGAAATATAGAACAAGAAAAATCAAATACAAAACTTACCTGTACCAAAGGTAACTCAAAATAAATTTAAATGGACCTACAATAAAATGCAAGAATAAATGTTAAAATCTGAAACTATGATGATACTTCGTATATAACTGTACTTTACGTGATAACAATAGTCCTCTACTTCCTTTATCAGTCAGCATCATTGTATGTACAGATCCAGCCTTCCACCTTTTCATGAATATTTTAATTATGCATAAATATTTTACGCATCAAAGACTTTAATTTGGTAACTTACAGTGGGTAGTGGTTTTAACGTGTTTGTTCTAACATTATAAAGCTTATATGCTGTACATCATAAAAAGTTATAACGTGTTATCCTTTTCTAAGAAAATGTAGTAAGAACACCACTTGCTGTTATTGTAAAACAATATAAGTTGTACTGATTTAATACCACTTGATAGTAATATTAATATGGAATCGAGTAACTAAGAAGCTAAAATATCACAAGTGGATGTTTAGGAAACATTTTAACATTTGCTTATTTTTTTTTACTTTTATTGTCCTTATAGTGGTCTTGGGCAGTTGACTGTAATGTAGCGCACTACACCCAGGCGGTTCAAAGCCCGATCTGAGAATTACTTTTGGTTTGTTTCTTACATAGTCTAATAAATAAAAATACTCCATTATAGCTTGTTGTTGGCTCCAGTGTGAGAGTGTGTATCTGGATGAATTATTATAAGTGATGGTTTTGTGATTAATTCGTGATTAGGAATTAAACATTTCACACATACTTTGAAACCATACGGCTTTGGAACAGTGGGAGGTGAAATCCAGTGGGAGGAGTTGGCGGTATTTTGATTTTCCAGCATGAACCGTATTCTCTACAATACTATTAAAAAGTTTCAGAATTATAAAAAATAAGCCTTTGTTGAATTTGCAGGAGAGACAAAAGGTACCTTTTGAGAAGTCGTGCACTGCTTGCAAATTGTGATGATTTTGAAAATTTTGATGATGTTGACAAACCGCTAATTTTGGTTGAAGAATTTAAAATCTGTACTGTAGCTTTAATTGAACAGAACGTAACCTTGCTCTTACAAGCGGCTCTGTTAAGCAGAGTTTGTTTTAACACCCCGCATCCTTTTAAAATAGTTTTTAATCAACTTTGTCTGTCCAGGGTGGGGTGGGGAGTGGTGTGGGGTTGGGCAGAGTGATGGAGAGTGAAATAAATGACCACCAGCACTTCCAGCATTTTCACTTTCCCCTGGTGCAAGATGATAATGCGCTGGCGGGCACCAAGCAATCCCTTCCAAGCTCTTTCAGAACACTTTAACAATTACAGCAGATATTTTACACCTGAAAACACGTTTTTTTTTTTTAATTTAATTGGAAGTGTTAACAGGACGCACAGTGAGATCACTGAGATGGATAATTGTAGTAAATACGTTGACAAATATCTGTTTTTTTGCTTTCACTAGGCAAGATAAAATTGTATCCAGTTCTTAATCATCTACATGACGTTGCCCCCGTGAAGTTTTTGGGGAAGGGGTCACAGTGTGGTGACCATAGAGTTTACTTTTTATAAAGTATATAAACTTAATATAGTCAGGAGCATGTAAAATCCTTTCCAAAATAACTGCAGTAAGTGACCGAGTGAAAGACTTTGATGCTTAAAATGTTTATGAAGAAAGTGGAATACTGTTGTGTATTTTGTATTTAAACAATCGTTTATGACCTTCAGAGACATAATGCTCCTCTTAATGTTATGCTCAGCTACCAAACTTTAGTTGTAAAATTCCATATTAATATTCCATATTTAGCAGATTTAAACATGAACAGTAAAGAGAAGCAATAGTTTTAGTAACAACCAATGCACAAGTGCCACCTGTCTGTCATTTTGGCCAGCCAATCACATACTGCAGTAGGCTATAGATGTTTTCCAGCGGTACAAGGTTTTACCGTGCATTTTGAATGGCTACATCTGTACATAATAAAGCAAAATTAGACAAGCATACTACATACTTTAATATTTTATCATGACAAAAGGATTGGCCTTTACACAAACTATACAGTTTTTTAGTTTAAGTTTTAATTTAGGCAGTGGTGAGCGCACCGTAAGTGGTAAGTGTCGGTAGTTTTACAAACAAATAAGAACAGGAAAAATCCTTACTAATGTTTGGGAAAGGATACAGTGTGAAGACAAAAAGGAACAGTAGAAGCTCCAAAGAACACCATTTAATTTGAAGAATTTTGAAGTAATATGAGTTAGAATCATAAAAATGTAGTTCCTTAGGAAGGAAAAGCTACTCTGCATTTAAAAAAAAATGTTAATCATTTTACTGAATGTGATGGTAAATAAAAGCAAACAGAGACATAAGTCCTTAAAAAATCATAAGATATATGAGGTGTTTCCATACCTGTTACTGCCTTTGTAATCAGAGATGAACTCTGCTCTCTGTTCCCTCGCAGCTACAAAAAAGGCAAAAAAGAAAATATTAATAAACATAAGTAGTTCAGGTGGTGAGCTGCATCAGCATGCAGGAAACGTTTCCTGCTGTGGAGTGCCCACTCAGCTTCTCTCCTGCCTCTTCCACACTCCCGCCTTTTGTTCTCCCATGCCTTATTAGCTGTCTAATATCCTCTTTTTCTCACACCTGAAGAAGGCTCCACAGACGAAACCTTGTTTCCCTTCTTCTCTTTTCAGCATGGAATAAACCTATTACTTGTTCCTTATAGATAAACATATGCATACATATCAGGACATATAGAAATCAATACAGTGTGTGTGTTGTTTTAATTTGCAAAGGAATAAGTAAAGTAATATCCCGATTAAATAAAATATAGCGTGCATAGAAAACTTTCAAAGTGTATCTAATTTTTTATTTACAAAATAACTAATACAAGTACCGTATCAACATTCGGCATTTCAAACATTAGATTGCAACAATCTACTTGATTGTCATCACAATTACAGTACAGAGCCACAGCTAACAGTAAAATAAAATGTGTCTAAATCTAAACCAGGGATGTTTTATTTAAAAAATAAACTTCTCCAGCCCAGCACAAACACAGCTATGAAGGTCTGCCCTGCTTGGTGATAACTTTGCTCAAAAGAACATAATCCATTCAAGGCCTGACATCAGAGTTGGGCTACAGCAGAGCGCAAGCTGCAAATCATAGGATTATAAAAGATCATACACAAAACAAACTACAATGATGTTTTGAGGTTTTGTTAGTTCGGAAAAGGTTAACACATCCAACACAAGAAAGTTCTTAAAACTTGAGAGTCAGACAAGAAGAAGAAACTACACTGCTATAGTTTATAAGCAGGTAATAAAGACCACTTCTGAACTAAACATTTGAGGTAATACAGATACTGAGGAAAATAAAATACTTTTGACTTTGATGATAAGAAACAATACCTCAGATGGCAACACTGAGCTTCCCCTGATTTAATATATAATTCCATGTAAGCAGTTGTAGTTCATTTTGTCACTTTTCAAGGAGACTTCATGTAGTCAAGATGGTGGACTCCTGTCTATACAAGACCTACTAATTTTCATGACACATTAGCTAATCAAACTGTAAATATACGAGATGCTTACAAAGTTATGTGGTCTCTTTAAACAGCTCTACAAGTAGTCTAAATAGCACAACATGAAAACGACTTGTATTAATAACGTATTTCCACACTTTACATGCAGTACATGCTACAGTACTGCATGACACTGTTCTGAGTTTACTGTAATTGTTCAGAGATGTGCTCAGAGATAGCTGGACTTTATCAAAGTGCTTCCAGTAGAGTTTCACTACATAGTGCTAACAATAAGGAGTATGAGCTAAATACTCACGTATCTTTCCCAGGGAACAATGTATTTGAACAGTAAATGTATACTATATACTGTATACCTATTTTGCTTTCATATGGTATGACATGCTTTACTCAATACAAAATTACAGGTAGATTGATGCATGAAATGCAAATCGTTATTTTTTGGGATTCTGCAAAACAAAAAAAAAGTTTTAAAAAAACAAGTAATGCAGGTGCACACGCACAACAGTTAAGCTTGTAGCAATTATTGTTGCATGTTTTAGTTAAGAGTAGTCTCCCGTCATTCTGCAATACACTAGTGCTACGTGGCTCACCTGTCACTGTCTGTACGCTTTTATAATTACATATTAATTGTAAGGAAACAAAGCCTTAAAGCCTAATATCCGTCCTTCAGTTCTCACTGACCTGAGTATCGGTCTCCGGTGGCCACTCGCTATTTATGAGTAAATCGTAGAGAATGTTCTCCTCATCGTTCTCTGAAGTGTTTTTGCCAGCCATGTCTGCAGCGGGGGACATGATCCTACGTGCATCTACCTACGGTGTCCGGAAAGGCACAAAAGACATCACCGTTTTTAGTAGTATTTTAACAAGAAAAAAAATGTTTGCGTTATGTTATTTTCAAAAAACATAATTTATTTTAAATTTTCTTTTTCAGAACATAATTTGTAAAGCTTGTTATATTAGTAATGTTTACGCATAGTTTCCGTTGCATTTTCTGAAAAAGGTGCATTTTCTGCATTAAGTCGGAACGAAATAGACAAGAGTCCCGATTCGCACGAACAATATTAAGGAGAGTAACGACACGCTGTTTCCGGTTAACTGGCTGACGTTTCGGTGGCGGAGATGGCTGCGTTTTCTGGTAAACTCCACGAAAATGTTATTTAATCTCTAATGCAAGATTTAATTTACAGTTCACATTTCTTTAAATAACTAAATGTTAATATCTTTGTTAAGAATGTAGTTGTAATGACTTTTAGTATGATTCAGGATTGATTTTAAACCGCGATAATGTAAGCATGTGTATAGTAACGTAGACGTTTTCCCTTTGAATAATAATAATATATATTTTATTCATTAGCTATAATTTTATAATTCACTGAGTGCATTTTCTTCATGATTTGCTACCACAGAACTAGGGGTAATGGCCGAAATTGCTCAGGCAGTGGAGGAGATGGACTGGCTGTAAGTATGATTTCAATGGCGAACCATGAATCACAATGTAGTACGAACAGTAATGCAGCTTTCGACTTTTTAATGTCGAAGGCATCAAAATATTTGAAGCAACGTGTCTTTTTTTTTACAATGAAGACAAACAGTATGTGATTATTGATCATTGAATGTCGTTAAGCGAGTTATTAGCCTAAAGGCTCCCATTGCAACCGTAATATTTATTAATATAATATTAACCTGTTTGCTGAGAACAGGAGATGTCTTTACCTGTCTGCTGTTCAGCAGTGGTTGTTGTCGGATACATTTTTTAATTACTAACTGAAGATATAAAAGTATGTTCTGATCTATATGAATTTACTTACTAATGGAATCCTTCAGGAATTATATTCAGTGTATTGCAAAAGCATTCAGACCCTTACTGTGGTGTTCGATTTTGTAACATTGCAGAAGATTACATAAACATTTTTTTTTACATTTTATTCAAAAGATTAATGCTCAAAATAAGTAAATCTAAGGGTAGCAAGTTATGGTAAATGTCAGCAAAAACAGAAGTGAGAATGGTTACATTTATGCAAATTGATGCATACAGTAAGTATTAAGAACTTAATATTTGGTGGAAGCTCCTTTGGCATCAGCTACAGCTGGAAGTCTTTTTGGGGACATCTCTACCAGCTGTAAGTACTGACGTGGGGGACTTTTTGCCCATTCTTATTGGGAGATTTGGTCAAGCTCTCTCATATTGGTTGAGGATCTCTTACATACAGCAGTTTTCAAGCCTTTGACTATTGATTCAAATCAGGGTCTTGATGCCTCACCAGTGTAGCTTTGACCTTGTACTTTTGGTCATTGTCCTACTAAAGGGTGGAGTTTTGTCTTACCTTTACGTATAAAGCAGGTTTTCTTTAAGATTTGGCAGTATAACTGTCTACAGTATGTTCCCCTCAGACAAGACAAGCTTCTCCTGTTCTGCTGGCGAAAAGAATAACTATAACATAAAGCTGCCAGCACTACTCTTGACAGTGGGCTTCTATTTCTACTTCTTGATCACCGTGGTTGAATATTTGCTTAAAATTAATCATCTTACTGAGGGACATTAAACAGAATTGTTTATTGTATTTATTTGGTGTATTTATTTTGATATCAAGTGAGCCATTATTTGTGCGCACAGATGGGACTCATCTAATTGTGTGGCTCATTAAGGTAAGTTTGTGCAAAAGCAAAGGGTTTGAATATTTATGTGATCTTTTTGCAGTTTTGTACAATTTATTAATTTCCTTTTTTTTCTTGGATGTGTCCAGTAGGATGTGTATGGCACATATTGTGTATAATCAAAGTTTTAAAGCAAAAACTTTTAAAACAAAAACAAATCTGAAAACAGTTCAAGGTGCTCAATACTATTGTTAGGTACTGTCTTAGAAATATTATGGTAACAAAGCATTAAAATAATCTATTTGTTTAATATCTACTTATAGACTCCCCACAGACATCCAGGCGGAGTCTGTGCCTCTGATTCTTGGAGGTGGTGATGTGCTTATGGTAAGTTTTCATTTGTTTAATTCAAGAGACTTTACAACATAATTTAGAAGTCACATATACAGTATATCCGCTGACACAAGTATTTCTTTTTCACAGGCTGCAGAAACGGGCAGTGGAAAAACTGGTGTAAGTAATATTAAATAATTTTATCTGATGGGCACTTTTACGTATTGTAAATATTAGTATATTTTCTGTGATTCTTGATGGGATAAAATTGAACAGGATTAAGCCTTGTCGGTATGGTGTGTTCTTAGACTAAAGAAAAAAAAATATAAATATACTGCTTAATTCTCCATTTGTTTTCCATGAATGCCTATTAGACCTTTGCTCATGGTTAACTTAAACACCGTGTGGTTCAGATTCTAACCTAAAAAAAGTTTGCTTCACTTCCTGTAATTTGTGTGTGTTTTTTGCAAAAATATTAAAAATATATATATTTAATAATTGTTTTTTTTAAAGGCTTTCAGTATCCCAGTGATTCAGATTGTGTATGAAACACTTAAGGATCAACAGGAGGGCAAGAAAGGGAAGGCAACAGTGAAAACTGGAGGGGCAGGTACACTAGGTTAAATTTGTCTTGTTGAATAATTGTTTTTATATATTTACTTATATTTCAAAGCATCAGCTGTTACAAGCATCTTTTGTAAAAAGAGTATGCTTTGCAGGGTAAAATCTTCTACCAAATGATGGAAAAAGATGGTTAGTGGTACATCTTTCAGGCTACTAAATTTAAGTGAAAAAATAAATGTATTGTTAGCACTAAAGCACTAAAAGGCATTTAAAACGATTTTGTATTTTGTACTTAAAAAGACAAATGTGAAAATTAATGTTGTGCTATCAGCCCAAAATGTTCATTTTTTCTTCAGTTGTTCTCTCTTTGGTTTTTATCAGTATTTAGCAAATGGCAGATGAACCCTTATGACAGAGGTTCGGCTTTTGGTAAGTGTGATTTTGTTGGCCATTAATGTAAAAAGTCAAAGTTAAAATTCATGTAGATTGTATTGATTTTATGAATACATTTTAGTTATTTTTTTAGGATAGAGTGGCAACTAAGCCCAAAATTTGGATTGGTGTTTAATCAATTTTGACATATCAATTTTTAAATCAAAAGAGCAAATGTAACAAAATAATGTAATAAATTTACAATGGTCTTTTTATGTGACCTTTAGAAAATAAGGAGATACATTTTTAGTGGTTGATTTGTCATGAATGTAATTTTGATTTTCACAGTCAACCCCTTCCACCATTATTTTTTTTTTTACTTTTAGCTAAAATTGTTTTGACTAAGGCAGATTTAAAAAGTAATGATTGAAAAAACATGTATATACATAACTCAGTGTAAGATGAAGTGAATTGTTTTTTTTGTGACTGCATGTGAGTCACTTGTGATTTTTTTCCCCTCTTAGCTATTGGTCCTGATGGCATGTGCTGTCAGAGCAGGGAGTTCAAGGAGTGGCATGGCTGTCGTTCAACTAAGGGAGTGACAAAGGGTTAGTACAGTTATAACAGAAGGACTGGTGTTTAGATGAAATTGTTAGGTACAGTATTGTTGCATAAATACAGTTAATCACATTATATTGTAATCGGTTATAATCTGTCCACTTGAAAATGAAAGACTGTCATTCTTAGCTCTTGGGTTTTTTTTCCGTTTTTGTCCAGTTATACCTTTAAAGGTTAAAATTAATTTTACAAATTAGCACTGTTGCCTCGTTGGTTTAGTTTCTAAGGTGCTGTCTATGTGGAGTTTGTATGTTCTCTCTGTCAATTTTGGTTTCCTCTGGGTCTTTCATTCTATTAATGGATTGAAACATAATCAACTCAGATAACTGGATCACAGGATGTAGTGCTTTTGTTTTTTCAATAAAACCTAAAAATTAGAAGTGGGTTGCATGATTTCTGTCTGTAAAGCCTTAAATGATAAATTATGCAATCATTGTACTATTGGAGCATTAGAAAAAATTGCAAAGTTAAGAAGCTCACTTGCTTCTACTATGTTCTAAATATGTACACAGCACAGTTGTGATCAGTGATGCTAATCTTTTCTTTCTGTAGGCAAGTACTATTATGAAGTAGCTTGTCATGATCAAGGCCTGTGTAGAGTGGGATGGTCTTCATCCCAAGCTGCATTAGACTTAGGTAAGTTTTACTGAAGTAAAACTTTTATTTTACTCTTTTTGACTGTAACTGGTCTTTTAATGACAATATATTGTTTCCCTTCTTTATGTCATTAGGAACAGATAAGTTTGGATTTGGATTTGGTGGAACTGGAAAGAAGTCCCACAACAAACAATTTGATAGCTATGGGGAGGTAAGATTGATAAAGTTAATGATAGTACAAATTTATGTTTTGAGCTCTAAGAAGTAAAGTGTATTTCTTTTTAATTTTTTTTCCAGGAATTCACAATGCATGACATTATAGGATGCTACCTGGATTTAGACAGAGGCCATATCAGTTTCTCTAAAAATGGTATGCTTTTATTCTCTAATGAATAAGATTATGGTTGTCACAGTTGTATGGTGGTTAGTACTGCTTCCTCATAGCTTTTGAGTCCTGGGTTTGGCACCTACCTTAAGGTGTGTTTCATGTACAGTTCTCACGGCTTTCCTGTGGCCACATGATTTTTTTTGTCCCACAGTTCAAAGACGTGCTGTTTGGGTTATTTGGCAAGTGAAGCGAATGCCATGGCTGTCTCTGCCACCAGATGTCAATCTACCACCATCAACAAAACGCTAAATGATGGAACAAATGGTGTTTTGGATCCAGACATTAGAAGTAGATTTCCAGACACTTGTAGAATCTATGCCGAGGTGCATTGAAGCCGTTCTAGCGGCTCATGGTGACCAAATACCCTATTAAAACACTATGTTGGCGATTCCTTTATTTCGGCAGTAACCTGTATGTATTGCTCATTAAGCTTGTTCTTATCAATTCAGTGATGCAAATCATTATTTGCAACTGACTTCACAAGTTTTTTTTAGAAATTTCTACAGGTTTTGATGGATGTTTATAGTACTTTTTTAAAAACCTAATGCTAAAAGGTTATTATACTGTATCTTACTGTTTTGTGATGGCTTTTTTTTTGTTATTTTTATTAGGAAAAGATTTGGGTCTGGCATTTGAGGTTCCTCCACATTTGAAAAATCAAGCTTTCTTTGCTGCATGTGTCCTAAAGGTATTAAACTTTATATCTGTATGTAGGGCACTTGAAGACGTTCTACTTATAGAAGTCATTGTCCTTTTTATTGCACTCCTAACTCTGCTACACTCAATTTTCATTTTTCAGAATGCTGAGCTGAAGTTTAACTTTGGGAGTGAAGAATTTAAAAACCCTCCTAAGGATGGCTTTATTGCACTAGACCAAGCCCCTGATGGACATGTTGTTAAATCACAACACACAGGTTGAGCTTATAATCTTTGTTCATTCTATTATTTAATCAAAAGTCACTTCTGGGCTCTCACAACATGTATAAAAAAGTACGCAGGGGGGTTATGAACTAACCTTATATGATGCCTTCTACAAACTCTGTGAAGGAAAACTTAGAATTTTTAGAACTGGAATTTGTATTATCCCAAATGTTGTCCTATGAAATAGGCTCATCTGCAACATGTAAGTCCTGACCCTTTTCCAGCTAGTATGACTTGTACGTAAGATTTATATGAAGCCTGTATTGGAAAGTTCTAATAATCTTAATTTATTCTTTATAGTTGTGACATGTTTAAAAGTCTGTATTGCTTATGTATGTGAAATAAATCTAAGAAACGCATTCTAGTCAATTTTTTTCATATTTAATATAATAACATATGGTTGATGCAGTATAATTATAGCCAGTGTTACTGAATTTGAAGTTATACAAACTCCCATTATAATTATTAAATCTTTCCTGAGATCTTGATATGTGCATTTTATTGGAATCAACCTCAGAATATTTATATTCTAAATATATTTTCTAATGTGTACATGTCATGTTTTTTTCCTTCTCATATAGGAAGCGCACAAGTAAGCCAAACAAAGAATTTGCCAAATGCCCCGAAAGCTCTTATTGTTGAACCATCCAAAGAGTTAGCTGAACAAACACTTAATAATATCAATCAGTTTAAGAAATATGTTGACAATCCCAAACTAAGGTAAGTATATTTACAGAATTTGTGTATAGATATGTGTATAATCTATGTCTATAATTTTTGTTTTTAATCATTAAGCAAGTGTACTATAAATCAAAAGAACTATCTCCTTTCTATATATGTGCACGTTTTTATATATTGTTACAAATGGGGGGTTAACAAACTGGTGAAAATCAGTATTTGAGCGGTTTAGTCAATCTGTGAAATAATTATTCATAACCCCACCAATTTATACGTGATTTCTAACAATATACCCGAATGACTGGTATACCTAGAGGCACGCAAATTCTTTATTCTCTTGCACAGCTTTGGTGGGAGGAGTAATAATCCAGGCACACTTGGTTAAAATAAATATTTATTACAATGACAAAACACAAACTACAGTACACAGAACATACAACACACAAGTTACTTTATGTACAGTATTTACAAACAAGGTGTTTCACAGGCCTTACATTCTAGTCACCCAGAAAACCCCAGACTGCTACTAAGCATTAAACTCTTAATGAAGAAGGCTCCACGGCCGAAACGTTGTGTTCTCTTTCTTCTTTTTTTCAGCATGGAATAAACCTATTACTTGTTCCTTTGCAAACTCTTAATATGCCTACAGAGGCCACACAAGAGATGAGCTGCATTCTAACTAAATACAGTGTAACCTACAGTTAAATCTCTCTGTCTGCACCCCAGATGCCACAAAATAAATGGGAGCCTATATCCCTATCCATAAAATGCTCCCTATGCAGGAAAGACATTTCTAACTGGGTTTCCCTGGTAAAAGTTACTTCAAGTTCCATAAAACACAGAATAGCACGCTCTCTCTAACGAGGTTCAAATCCTTAGCTCCATTCAGGTTTGGTTTGGATGATCAAGAAGTAGGGGCTCTTGTCTGGCACAAGCTTCAAGTCCCAACTCCTCTGGACTCCTTTTTCCTCTCCTTGTTGCTTGTTTCTTCCTTCCTTCTCATTTCATGTGATCTTATATTGTGTGTGTCTGTACTGCTCCTTGCCAATCATTAATCCACAACTTACCTGGTTATACTAAAGCAAACTTTACAATTGTTTCTGCTCAAGGGACCCCCAGACCTCAGAAAACATCCTCTCTCCTTTGAAATTAGAAGATATTTCTCTTCTTAAAGTTTCACAAACTTTATCTAAAATCTAAGAGACACTTTTTCTGTCATCTGAGGCTGTAACAATATATATAAATTTACATCCTCATTTTCTCTTATATATGCTTTTTAAATCTGTTCTAGGGAACTTCTAATCATAGGTGGTGTAGCTGCGAAAGAGCAACTTGCAGTTCTAGACCGAGGGGTATGTTTTAAATAATGTTCTTTAAATTCTCAGATATTAGCTGATATGACTGATTAGAAAAGGTTACTATTAGGTTTCATCATTCATTGTTTGTTTTTCTAAATAGTATAAATGAAACACCAGCATTACCACATCTTATCTCATTATGTACTAGGCCAGTTCACATCATTTCACCTTCCTTTTATATTTCGGTAAAGGGAAAGCTGCTATATCAGGTGTTTGTAAATTGCACATTAAATATATTTATTGATCTTTTCTTTAATAAATATAATGAAAAGAAAAAAATACTATTTCTGGAGCCTTTTTTGATACACCACAGATCTTGTGAGTTGGAATTGTTGAATTGTAGCCTTTTGATAGTTTTATGAACCTGAATTGTATAATGGGTAAACAGTTTATCTTGATATTGGGTTATTGATGATATGAAGGCTAGTTTTAGCCCCTAAACATATGAAAAGCATACCTTTTGATTTATTGGACTCCAGTCTTTAAAGTGATTTCAGAATAATTTAACATTGTTTCACCTGACCTTTTGTGATGCTGACCATTCAATATTCTGTTTATTATAATGAATTTATACAAGCTTTAAAATTCTATAAAATATTTTTAAAAGGTGTCTTTTCTTTTTATATTAGACCGATATAGTTGTTGGAACACCAGGTCGATTGGATGACCTGATATCTACGGGGAAACTCAGCCTTTCTCAAGTGAGGTTCCTGGTACTGGATGAAGCAGTATGTACCTTTCATTTTCAATGCTTTAATCTGAAGTGTAAACTAATTTCTTCTACTATGTAATGGATTTTAATCATTTAGGTAATATATCGACTTTTATGGTCCATAAAGTAAATCCAAAAGCAAAGTCTTCGGTATTGACTGTACATATATGTTGTGCTTTAAATGTACTGGAGCAGGATAACTAAACACGTAACTGATCCATTGTTTTCCCACCCTGTATAGGATGGACTCATTTCTGCAGGATACACTGATTTCATAATGAGAGTCTACAACCAGATTCCTCAGATTACATCTGATGGAAAGAGGCTTCAGGTAGTTGAAATATCTTTTTTATTGCTTAGTGTTGTCATATTGGTAATCCAACCATGGCTTGAGTTTTAAGTGGGTTTTCTGTTTGTAGGTGATAGTATGCTCTGCAACCCTTCACTCCTTTGACGTGAAAAAGCTCTCTGAAAAGATCATGCATTTTCCTACCTGGGTGGATCTGAAAGGTGAAGATTCTGTACCAGAGACAGTTCATCACGTTGTAGTGCCCGTTAACCCCAAAACTGATAGAATCTGGGAAAGGCTTGGGAAAAACCATATCCGGGTATGCTTGATGTTTTGCTTTTCACTTTTAGTGAGCATCCCTACACTTCTGTTAGTACAAGTGTTTGATGGTATGTTCAGAGTATGATTCTAAAAAATACTGTATTCTAAAATTTTCTCCAGACTGATGAAGTGCATGCAAAAGACAACACAAGACCTGGTTCCAGTTCTCCAGGTGAGTATGAAGATTATACTCTAAATATAATGAATATATAGAATATAAAAACTTATCCGAAGTTCTTTACTTTTTTGCTTAGACATAATACTTAGTTTAATTTAGTTTCTTCCCTTTATTTTGAGATGCCTATTTTTGTAAACAAATGTTAAGAAAATATCAGTAGAACTCCCTTACAGGGACTTGTGTTTGTATTTAATGCTCATCAGATTTGTCTTCTTTCCAGAAATGTGGTCAGAAGCTATTAAAATCCTGAAGGGGGAATATACAGTGAAGGCTATCAAGGAACACAAGATGGATCAAGCTATTATTTTCTGCAGAACTAAAATAGATTGTGACAACATGGAGCAGTACTTAATTCAGCAAGGAGGCGGTAAAGAATGTTTAAATTGGTTATTTTAAACAATGTCGTATTCGGTCTTCAAAAAACAATTTTATTTATACAGTTCATTTTCAGATTTAATTTTAATTTAAGTGACTTTAACAAAAGGGCAATGGTGGAATTCGAAACGTATTGTGGCATTGTTCACAGAATCCAAACATTTAGTGTACAACCAAGCAATAACCCAATTTTACTCTTAACATCAAGAATGTTCTGAAGCAAGTCCAAGAGGCATTCTCACAGAATCTTATTAATCTTTTTAACCTTAATGTTCTTTTGTCATAAAAGAGCAAATTGCCTTAAGAAGGTCCATCCTTGGAAAGACTTTCACTACCTGTCACCATTTATAAAGTTAGCAAAGATTAATTTAATTAACAAAGGTTTTCATTTCTAAAACATTTAGGACCTGATCGAAAAGGACATCAGTTTTCGTGTGTTTGTCTTCATGGGGATCGGAAACCAAATGAACGCAAACATAATCTGGAGCGTTTCAAGGTAATTTTGAAACCATCGCACTGTTTAGAAACTAGTGTAATTTTATTATTAAATAATTGTGTAGGATTTTTATTTAATTAAACACTACTGTTTTATAAGAACTCTTTATTATTTTAAAACAACAAACAACTCACATAGAAACATAATATCACAAAATACACAAAAAAGCACAATAATCACAACAGTAACCAAAATAAAGTTATTGACTACCTCTACTTACTGCTTTAATCTATACATCACATCTCTCCATATTCTTTGAAATTGTTTAATTCCGCATCTTTCCACTGCCCAACTTTTTTCAGTTCTTAACTATTCTAATATTTCCATTTTTGCAAACCTGTTACTAATGTTGATTTCTAGAATTTCAACAGGAGTGTCTTTAAACTTATAGCAGGGTGTACCACAAAGCAGCCTAATGGACTCTTTTTTTCCCCAGTTATCTTAAAGAATGGTCTTGCGTATGTTGTAGTAGGCATAATGATGGAGTTAAAGCAATCTTACTGTTGAGAGTGGGGGATAGCCAGCTCTCTAATGTACCCATACTGTACAAAATTGCCAACATTCCCAAAAGCAATGAATCAGTAAATCACATTTTTTAAATGGATTTACAAATGAACTAGACAATTCTGTATAAATGGCAAAGGAAAGAAAGTAATGTTCTATATTTGCTAAACTTTTGATGAGTAATTTGTGGTCACCAGCAGGAATATTTCAAAACTCTTTATCTGGAAATTGGACTGTTACATCTATCTACACCATCAGACTTATCATCCACAATTTGAAATTAAATAATCATGAATAAGATTTGTCAAAAACTGAAAAGTTTGCATTAATCTTATCAGTTGATTTAACATCAAACTAATGATTTAATTATAATAATATACCTATGTCATGAATTTATATTGATTTAAGCTGTAATTTTTCAGTATCATACAGTATCACCAAAGACATATTCCATAATTCTGCTACATCAATCCTAGCCAAATCTTCATTCCATTTAACCCATATTTTTCCAGAAGGAAAATTTTTGCAAGGAAGATTTTTGCAAAACATTGTGTAAACTGCCTGTAAGTTTACACTGTAGACATTTAAAGATTTTGTTGTTAGTTACATTTCTTATTGTATTCTATAAAATATTTAAGTTGCTGTTATTTTATCAAGTCCTATTTGAATTATATACCACTAGATTCACACTTTGGCCATGATATTTTTCATTTCTGGATGGTCATCCTGTGGTTGTTCCATGTTTTTTAAGAACTTTTTTAAACCATGATCTAACTGTATTATTAATAACATTATTTATGCTTTTAAACCTGTTTCTTGAAAATTCACAAAATAAATTCTAACAATTTAATAAACTCGCTGAAAGAAAAGAATGTTACTTTGAATCCAACACAATATGTTTAAGATATGCATTTAATTAATTTAATTTTAATTCTTCTGTTGCCAGAGACAGGAGGTAAAGTTTCTGATTTGCACTGACGTTGCAGCTCGAGGCATTGACATTCGTGGTGTTCCTTATGGTAATTAATATTTAAAATTTTCAGTACACAAATATTGCTTCACTTTAAACATGCTTTTAACAAAACTGTGTAGATTTAACAATGAAATTATAACCACAAGCAGATGTTCACATTCACCAGTATTGCATTGCTGCCTTCTTATGTATTCTCATAATGTACAGAATTGTTGTCAGTATGCATCATTGTGAACTGTTCAGCTGTTTTTGATACTTAGATTAAGCACAAAGAAACCTTTTAGTTCAGATATGTCCCTTTCTCAAAAACTGCCCCGTCTTCTCTAATTATAAATGTCTAGTAATTGGGCATAAATTCAGTCCATTGGCTCAGATAACATTTCTGTGACATTCTAAAACAGGCAGTTAGATTCTACCTGGGTACGAGTGTACGAGAATTTACAGTGTAAACATATATTGTTTTTTTTCTAGTTATCAATGTTACTCTTCCTGATGAAAAACAAAACTATGTGCATCGTATAGGAAGAGTCGGAAGAGCTGAAAGGTATGTTTGCAACCAGGATATTAATTATTTGGTCTTGTATTTACAAGAGTAGACACAAAAATACAAGATGCACTGCAACAGAAAACAATTCAGTAAAAGGACATTGAGATGGTAGTGATTTTTTTTGTTGGTCAAAAAGTTCAGAACTGGAATGAAAAATCAATATCTTCTATTTTTTTTATTACTTTTTTTAGAAATTACCTTAGCATAATATATTTAATATTTAATGGGGAACTGCAACACTATTTATATATTTCAGGGTTAGAAAGCATCAGTATTGAATGCACTTTAAACCACAGTAAAAGTAAAATATACACAGTCAACTAGTAAAACCTCCAATTTACATCACAAAATAGACAAGATTTCCAGTAATGCATGAACCCATTATCTGAGATTCAGAACAAGTCAGTAAAACGTCTGGTGACATTAAGTGGCCTTATGGTATTGTAAACAAGTAGTCCTGTGAATACATCTCTTTTAATCCAGTAGAAATACTGCTTTTGACTTTCAGACGGTTTTGCGAACATATACCACTTGTTTACTCGGCACGCAGATCAAGTTGGAACATTTCTGCAGTGAAATGTCTGCTGCACAGTCTGTACTTACCCGTTCATACATTGCGTTACGTTAGTCATTATGGTGACTAGTGAGCAAGAAGGGCCGCATCACATCACAGTTCATGATAACTTTTGCTCTTGCCTGTGGTGAGACCGGGGGTTTGTAATAACAAGTACTAACACAGTAAGTACAGTCCTTTCACAAATTGCAAAATTATTAGAAATTTGTAAACCGTTTTTTATACCATCAAATAATTTGTTTTATTATTCTAAACTGGTCTGAGAGATTGGGACAGCAGTTCTCCTTTAAAATGACTGACACAATATCTTGTTATTCACCACAACTCTTTATTTTTGCATTTTCTAAATAATGCACAGGGATGATTTTTTGCAAAAGCTAAATTTACAAAGTGGGGCACAAATCTTGAGTTTGCTGGGTAGCATCAAGGTATGAGTGAACAAATTTAGATACCTGCATTGGACTAAAATACATACTTTATATTGTAAATTTCCATGCATCTCAAATTCTATGTGTTAGGGTGTCATTATCACTTTTAAATACAACTCGGGCAGTGTTATTCACCCTACATTTTAATAGGGTAAATTAGTGCAAAGTGAAATATAAGGACAGTATATTTTTACTGTATTATAACTCAATATATTCATCTTCAAATGCAGATTATATTGTGATTATTAAATCGAGATTCGTTTGCAATTTGTTCTTATATTTTGTTTTGTTTTTAGGATGGGTTTAGCTATTTCTCTAGTGGCCACTGAGAAAGAAAAGGTGAAGTATTTTCTTTATTGTAGTTTTAAAAAGGTGACTTATTAATATTTAAATAAAACACCTTGACACTATGGATTTTAGTAATCATAAACCAAAACACAAAAGAATGTTTTTGATTGGTATGTCTTTATCAAATAACTTTTCATTACAAGACAAAGCATTTATATGAAACCTTTTTTTGTAATAAATTAACCCTAAAAGTGCAGTGTTTTCAATCCTGTTTGTTTTTGCAATTAGGTTTGGTACCATGTGTGTGCAAACAGGGGCCGAGGATGCTATAATACCAGACTGAAAGAGGATGGTGGGTGTACTATTTGGTACAATGAGAAGCAGGTGAGTTCTACTGCTCTCCTTCACTCCCATGGAAGCGATTCTTGCAGTTAAAATCACATTTTCTTTTCTGACAGCATTAATGACAAGACACAGTCAAAGGATAAAATTATTCTAATTGCCTGTGTCCTATAGTCTTCAAAAATTAGCTTTGTTTTTCAAATTCATGTTTCTGTCTGTTTATGCAATGTTATAAAACTTAATTCTCCGTCTCAGCTCCTTGCAGAGATTGAAGACCACTTGAACTGCACCATTACACAGTGTGAGCCTGACATCAAAGTGCCTGTGGATGATTTTGATGGAAAAGTAACTTATGGCCAGAGAAGAGCAACAGCAGGTATGCTCTAAAAGTCTGTCTGAAATCGCATATTAAGACAAAAGCTGGAAAATGTACATAACATATAATTGATGTATTTTACGCATGTCTAGGTATACGAGTATTATATGGAAAAGCAGGTTCAATGTTAAATATTTATCTGATTGACACAGATATTGAAGTGGTGGGATGCAGTAATGTGGTTGACTGAAATGCTTTGGCAAGAGCATGGTCATAAACAGCAGGGGACCAAGTTTTCTGCTTCAGTGCAATATATAATTGAGAACAGACAATTGTCATACTTTTGTCCAATCCTTAAAGAATACACACTGTTCATATTTAGATAAAACATTCGCACACCAAGTCAAAATATTCAGCAGAAACATTTTAGGAAATGCATTCACAATACATGTAATTTCCTAAAATGCATATATACATTTTTAATTTTTTTAATAGGCATGTTAAACTTGTTTTAATAGGCAAAACTGGCAATGCATTTTATTTTTTCTCTGCATTCCCCTAGCAAGTTTAAGTTGATACAAAGCAAGTTGTTTTTTTTTACATTGTATTCTGTCCAAAAGTATCAGATGAACAAAAACATTCTTGTTATTGTCTGTCAGTGTGCATTTGGAAGGAGTAACAGCTCTCCACTAAAATAAAGTAGATGTCTGCTGAAATATGAAATTAGTTTCCTTCCACGTTGTTGTCCAAAGTTTATCATTTGGTTCTCCCATTAAGCCATTGTTCCAAAAAACAGGCATGTAGTTTTTTTTAATCAATTACAACTCTGATTAAGACAAGCTTAAAAAATCCAGAAGCAAATTTGTTTGACCCAATTCTGAGTAAAGTGAGAATCTGTAACCTAAATTTGTTTATTTTCAGGCGGGCTATACAAAGGCCATGTGGACGCTTTGGCACCTACAGTCCAAGAGCTGGCTGCCCTTGAAAAGGAGGCACAGACTTCATTTTTGCATCTTGGCTACCTTCCCAACCAGTTGTTCAGAGCTTTCTAATTATCAGTGAATCACGAGCAAAATGCAATACAATAAGTAACACGGAGCACTGAGCTGAAGTTTAAAGAATTGTTTATTTTTAGTTAATGTCAGAGGTAGATAAAAAAATTAATTTAACCTTTTGTTTAAAATCCTGTTTTGAAAAAGCCTGAACCTTAAAAAAATAGTGTAAGCAAATAGAGGTGCTCCTGTCTGCTATAAATCTAATTGCAGCAGAACAATTCAGTTAAATAAAAGTAGTACAATTAACATAGTCCTTGATCTCTTATTGAAATGGGTTGTGATTTCCTTTCACTTCAGGCCAAAATAAAGACATCTAAGGAAGTGGTGCCATGGCCAACAAAGTGACCGCAATTATCAGCATGTCCATCACTGCTGATTCTCTGATGTTCTTGATATAGCTGTTTACAGAAATCCCACTCTGGGAAAACAATTCCGGATCCAGCTAACAGCTGCACAATATCTTGTTATTCACCACAACAGACATGCCACCATTTAAGAAGTGGTTAAGGTCCCCCAATTTCCAGCAACAATACACCAGGAGATACGTGAGATTTGGTCACAGGTGGCAGACTCTTTAAAGAACAATGAATTCCTCCAGCTGAAGTACCTGGGAATTTTGAATGGGAAATCAGTCAGGATATATTGTTAAGAAATCATATTTCCGTGTTTTTGTAACAGTTTAAGGTTTTGTACATATCTTATTAAGCATTGATCAAAGTATTCCTCTCAGTCCATAATGGAATTTTATTGACAAGTTTTATTGATGCACTTAAACTGTGCTTCTAGTTGAATTTAAATTGTAAAGTAAAATTTTATCCAGTTTAAATCTGGAAGATTTTCTTATCTTTGACTTGATCTAAATCTTCCAAGATGGCAATTTTAATTGTGCCACTGTATGATGAAAAGCATTTGTCTTAAACTGATTTATAATCTTTAACTTTTTTTTTTTGCCACTAGAGGTCAGATCTATACCATTAAATTAAGGAGTTTTCATACCATCCCCATTTGACAAGCATCTGTAGCCCTCGTACCATTATACATCATATTACTAAGCAATATGCACTATAAATTCATTAAACAAATAGTTATTTCTCAATTTGAATTCTCAAATTCACAGAATTCTTTTCACATTTCTGGAAAACCTGACTATTATAAGGTGATGTATTTGTTTTATTCTATTGAAACACTGGCTAAATATTCTTCTGACCTTGAGTAGTGAATCAGACACTTATTGGCATGTTTATACATTCTAGTCTTTGTTTCCAGATTTAAAGAACTCTAAACCCCTTTATAATGTCCAGGTATTCCATAGAAGTTCCTGCAAGCATAAAGTTTATACTCCTACCTCTCCAAATTGTGAAAATAATTTGCTCCTCACTCTTCTGTTTTACATTGTCAATTCTAATTATTACACAGACATCAAAAACAGATTAACCTGAACTTGATAATCTAATTTTTTAACATCAGAATTTTTTCAGAATATTTATTATAAATTAATATGTAAATTTTATAAACAAATTATAACACAAGAACATCATTTTTTTTTTTCCATTTGGTTTTATGATTTACACAGCAATAAATATACAATTATGACGCCTTAATTGGTCTATTGTAGTTGCATTGCATTATTGTAGAGTTATCTACTGTATATGACTTAAACTGTTCTACTAAATGCCGTTAAAAGTTCTTAAGAAAACAGAAGTATGTGTTTTTGGTATAGGAAATTGGGGTATTTACATATCATTATGTGAAATGACAAATGTCTTTCAGATAAATACTACAGTATCTTCAATTCACATTTAGCATCTAACCATCATGGGAGGTTGAAATCATTCATGTCTTTACAGTATTTTCACTGCACGTACAAATTCAAATGTGTCAAAGGCTCATGTTTAAAAACCATGATATTTAAGGTAAAGTTTGTTGCCTCTGCCTTTTCATTTTCTTCACACTTAAATTGTGCTTATTTCTTCTTGGACAAAGTCGCAGGGTTTAAAGCTCTTTTATTTCTACCTTGATAACCACAAAAAGAATTAGTTTTATAGCTGCCCAGTTTGTCATTACAGGAAATGTCTTTCTTAGTTAATAAATTATCTTTATATTGTGGACCTGCTTCTTGTCCCACTTTATCCTATAGTCACTTACACATCAAGAGATCAAGGGGGTCAAATAAAGCTCCCCCTTACTGTTTTATGGGGTACCCACATGCTGAGTAGTCTAGATTGCATGGAAGCACTCAATCTGACTGGCTGGTTTTCAGACCAATGTGTTTAGAAGTTTGAATCAAAAGTAAGACATTCATGTGCCATGTTCCGATGGGTTTGTCTGAGCTAAATCTATACTAACAAAAAAACAACAGACAATTTTCAAAATACAGACACCTTAGTCTAAAAATGATATTACACTATTGAGCACAGAATTTGCACAGCATGAGAATATTGCAGAATATTGCAGTACTATTTTAGCAAAAGAATATTAGCAATTGTTTTTATTTGATTTGCTTGCTTTGTCAATATTACTACTGTAAAATACTGGATACTGGTTTAAGTAATTATATTTCTTTTCTTGCCACTATATTCCATACAAAAAAAATATTTTAAGTAATTTATTTTATTCTGGACTGATTTGTTTTCTTGACAAAAGTGGTAGTTTAAACATGAATAAAAAGCAGTCTTTAATACTTGAAGGAAGTATTAAAAACGGCCTTCATGGACTAATAAAAAAACATCTCAACTATATAGACTACTTCTGTAGCAAAGAGTAACAACAACCAAGAATTAGATGCATTTGAGGCTTTCTATTGAGATCTTATTTAGTGAGATTTAGATTAACTGGCTTAACTGAGGGACAGTCCCCCTGACCATAGGACAAAGAGGTTAGGAACCCAAACCCACCTTTTAGAAAGAGAAGAAGGCATCAGGAAAATAATGTATTGAGAACAATGGCACAAATTGTTGATTTTTTTCAGATGGTGTGCAAAAAACAAAGGAATGCTTGTTTCACAATGTTAGATTTGGTTCTGACGTATGTGTAGTATGACCCTGAATATCAGCTACCAAGTTAAATTAATTAGGTAATTGGGAACATCTTGACAGGCAGCTGAGGAGTCAACGCCAATCCACCATAGGTGATAAAAACAGTTGTTTTATGGAGGATCTGAATTTGTTTTGTTAGAATTTCACCTTTTCATTCACAAAGAAAGGAATGGTAGAAGATGCTAGTGAGGAAATGTGAAAATAGTTAAAGAGAAGTTAATAAGGGCTAATGCAGGCTGTACTGTACGTACTGTTAGCCTATGAAATGATAAGATATTGATATCAGATAAGTAGTGGTGAAAAGAAAAATTAAAAGGTGAAGAAGAGGCTGTAAATTTTGAGCACCTTAGACACGCAAGGCGGCAAAGAAGGCTAACAAAAAGAGGTATTCTAAAGTTCTGTCTACCAATAGTGAAAAGTATCCAGATCTAACTGTTTATTCAGATGTCATATCTGCTGTAATATTTGATGGGCTGTTCAGAACATTTAAGAGGTTTGAGAATCAAGATAATTTGGTATATACTGTAGACTTGCAGGGTTTTGTACAGACCTTTATTAAAAAACTGGAAGCCTTCCAGACTGGCATCTAGGGCCAAGTTTGTGGAATTCTAAAAATGACAGATAGAGTCAGTAATACTATTGAGATAGCCTGCAAAGTGAGCTCCAACAGAAGAAGCAAAAGTAGATAAAGTAGCAGAACAGCCCAATGAGAGGTCATCCAGTTAATAATGAGTGAAGCTCTGTTCAGGGTGATTAACCCAGCAAGTTTGTTGATTGTTGATCAAAATGGAGAGATGAACCAGAGGGCAAGAGCAATATACAGTACAATACCAGCAGTATCAACATCTATCTACCCTCAGTGGGAATGTTGGTTCCTCTGGAGCAGATGAGCTGATTCTTTAGCAGAAAATTATTTGTTTTAAAGTCTAGATCAAGAATAATGTGCATATAATTTGAATTAAGATAAACTGAGCAAATTATGTCTCTAAAATCAAGACAGAATTCTGGAAGAAAAGCAAGTATGGGGTAATAGCAGAATAAACAGTTCTAGTTTCATAGTAGATGGTAGAGTGAATAAGATGACAGTCAAAATTAACATATACATATTTATTAGTAAATCTGAAAGAGGAGGAGAAGAATGGCCACAGACTGGCAGATGTCTTTAGTGACTGGCACTGAGAAAGGAGAGTTAGAGGGAGTATGCTCTACTGGCGATTACTTCAGAATTTAATAGAAGATTAGTTAAAAGAGAGAAGAAATAAGGTTATAAAATGATTTCACGGAAAGACCTGGGGTCAGAATCTCAGTGGGCTGGGATTTTTGCAGAGCTAGAATGAAAAATTGCTTTGTGAGTGGAGGGGTTATTTGGAGGTGAACAGGAGCCGCCCTGAGTGCCAGGAGACTTAAAAAAGGCCCATGGTGGTAGAAAATTATATGAAATCAGAGTAGGACACCACATAGACCAGTGGCCAGAGGTGGCATCAGGAGTAACAGGACCAAATGGGAGAAACCTGGAACTCAAAGTGAGAAAGTGTTCTTTTTGGACCTTGTTGGACAAGTTGGATAGAAGCAGAAGACTGATTGAGCAAAATGGAAGAAAGGAGTAGAACTGCAACTTTAGATTCCGAGAAAGAGGTGAACAGGTTGTTTGAACAAGGGATTGAGAACCCAGAAGTAGTAGTAGTAGAGCAGGCAAATGAGCAAAAAACACAGTCAGATTGGAAATAAAGAAGAGGGAATGTTAATAGTAGAAGGAACACAGAAAGACAAAGAAGGATGGAAGAACTGGGAGATAGTGTAGGAAACACAAGATTCCATCCAGTAAACAGGAATCTGACACTGAGGTAAATGATGTCACTGCCCAGTTCAGAAATATACTGGAGGACTTTCTCCTGGATTATTTTTGAAAGAAATGCCTTGTGTGTGAAGAGTTTGATGTATATGTTACTGTAGCTAGAGTCTGGTTTTTGATAGCAGCGTCTTCAGTTAAAAACTTCCATATAATAAAAATGTATTTAACTTAAGGACCAGAGTATTTATAACAGACGGTGCTTGAGGAAAGCTTTAAGCATCATCAAAGACCCCACACACCCCGGCTACAGACTGTATGACCCTCTACCATCTGGAAAATGGTACCAGAGCATTTGGGCCTGGACTACCAGCCTCAGAGACAGGTTTTACCCCCACACTATCAAACTATTAAACTCCCAGCCTC